CCCTAAACCCTAAACCCTAAACCCTAAACCCTAAACCCTAAACCCTAAACCCTAAACCCTAAACCCTAAACCCTAAACCCTAAACCCTAAACCCCTAAACCCTAAACCCTAAACCCTAAACCCTAAACCCTAAACCCTTGTACGAGTCTGTGCACAAAGACAGCACAGACAACGCACCACTGCTGAAATCCAGGAATATCCTAGGATATTCTGGCTTTGGCACTTCATGTGATGTCCTACTGTGACTGCCGCATTTATGAGCGAGACTCTTTCTGGACAGTCAGGTGGGCTGGGTTAGCTTTCGCCCTGGCTACTGGGGTTTGTGTGTGTCACTGAGCAGTACACAGACCACCAGAAACGCGGACGCTCAGACAGCCATATATGTCAACACAAAGAGCGGATTCTTGTCATTGACCAATGAGGCTGTGGAGGGACGCTTTTAATAATTGCTGACAGCATTAGTGGTCTGTGCGTTTTGTGTTGACGGCATCTCTCTCTGTCTGTCTGTGTGATAGGCCGGAGGGGCCGGGCCATTTGTGTGTCTGAGCAATTCACTAAATCAACTCGATCACTTCATGGCCGTCACCCATGATACACGCACAGGTAGACACAGTATACCACACAGTCACCGAGAGAAAGAGAGATATGGCTAGCACGTGAGTCAGCCAGGCAGCCTAACATACTCACACATCGGCCGGAGCATCACAATAAAATCGGCCAGCAGCGAAGCGAACCGCATCGGATGCACTCACACTTACATCCACAGCCACAGCCACCCATGAGATGTGCCATGACATCCATTGAGTCACGCAGCTGCAACAGAGTCACGCAGCTGCAACAGCTCGTCATTCATATCGTCACTCACATCATCGCCGCTGCCGTCCTCGGCATCCGCACACACCCAGACCATCGTCCGAATCTATCTCACACACACAAAGTAAACATCCATTCATCAGATGAATGTTTACTTTTGAACGTGTCCGTCTCCGTATATGTATATGTACCATTCTCATTGTCATCTTCCTGCTGCTGCTGCTGTTGCTGCTGCTGCTGTTGTTATTGCTGCTGCTGCTGTTGTTGCTGCTGTACTTGTTCGTCGAATGCCATTCGTCCGTATTCGTCTATTCGTCCGTCGAATATGAGTAGCGCCACCGCCCCCAACGCCACACGAGCCACCTGACTTGTCAACGGGAAGCGGTGCTCAACAGACTACTCCCACACACAGCCGCCTCAGTCGTCTTGAACAGAAAGGTCACTGCACACATGGGAAAGGTCAATCACATTTCACCACCACAGCTGTCTGTCTGTCATTCTGAACGTCATTCTCACCGGTTTTTCCGGTTTTTCCTAGATTCACGATGTCGACCCATGCGACGAATGGATGGCTGCCATCGGTCAGCACCAGCCGTCGCACACAATCGTCCCGGCTCACTGTGGTCGTACAGCCGGGCACTGAAGTGTGGGGCGACTGAATGAACAGGCCATCCAGACGAGCGCCAACGACATCCCTAAACAGACAGACACCAACAAACGACTTGTCCTGTGCCCCTCTTGACCCCATTGATTCCGTTAGTGTGCTACCTGGTGAGTCTAGTGAATGTGTCATTGATCTGCTGCCGGTGAGTCCCGTAGAAGTGGTCTAAGATCTTGCACTTGGCAAACGACGACAGTGACGCATCGATGCGCTCATTGAAGGCCGACGACAACCATCTGGCGTCGGCGGCCGAGTACTGGGTGATAGGGCTGCGCACCGGCGGGTCTTGTGGCTGTCTGTGCCGCCGGTACAGGTGGCCGGCAGGGAGGGGCGGATCGACGTCCAGGCGGAAATTGGGCTCGTCGATGATGGCCCGCCACTGGTTGCCATGGTGGAACAGCTGCAGGCAGGTGCCGTCACTGAAGTGGATGTGGCGGCCGACCATCTCGAGCTGCGCCAACACACGGGGAGCCGACACATACGCCTACACACACACCACAGAGACACACACAGAGAGAGATCATGAGGCCCTCCCCCTCCCCTCCCCGCCCCTCTGTTTGCTGGCTCACCTTTATGTTTGCGTGTGTGTTGATGTCATCGGCTGTGAGGATGACAGGCAGCTCAAAGTTGCCGCACTGCCCCGCCAGCCCAATCACCTCGACCATCTCGCCCCAGTCCCCCTCCTCCACCACACACACCGCCGCCAGCAGATCATGTGTGACGAACTGGTCGTCGTCGAACCGCAGCAGCTGCAGTTGCTCCCCATTTACCGCCCGCCGCAGCCCCGCCTGTGAGCCCAGCGAGTGGCTGAGCCGATCTCTCAGCTGGGCCGCTCCGAAGAGCTCTCTTTGCCAGGTGCAGGTGGCCCTCAGCGGCACGACGTCCTTGACGCTGAGGAGGTAGCGGCTCCTCCGGCCCACACACAGGTATGACACGGGGTGCTGCTGCTGCTCGAGGTGCTGCATGGGATGGATGGGCCAAGACGGTCAGATGAGTGAGGCGCTCGACGAGAGGCTGCACAGAGCGACAGAGGCGACAGACAGAGGATTATGTCCATCAAACATGCTGCTCACAGATCTGTGTGCTTCTCACCTTCCCCCTTCGAGGCGTAGACGGACAGATCAGATGAGCTACAAACCACCACCACCACCAGATGAGGAGGCCGTTGCCGCTCCTCAGCCACACTGCACCGATGGGCCGGCAGACACACAGAGAGAGGCACACAGACAGACTCACAGACAGACAGACAGACAGACAGACAGAAAGGCCAAGACATTCATTGAGGTGAGTGGATGAGCGCATCAGTCAGTATGTCAGTGAGTCAGTGAGTGTTGGGCCTCCCTCACCTCCGATGTCTGTCAGCTCAACGGCCCTCCGATGTCTGTCCCTCGAGTCAGCAGTCGAGAGGATGACTAACTCGAGGGACTCTTCTCGACCTCTTGTCGGCCGAGTGCCTCACTCTCGCAACGCACAGCTGTCCGGCAAGCCGCAGAAACGCCGCACTTTGGCCTCTCGTGGGATTATAGGGTAACAAACCCTTTGAACTTGTCAAAGTTTGGTTTAGGGCTTAGGGCTTAGGGTTTAGGTTTTAGGTGAGATTGAATCGATGCCACAACCTTCTTTTTTGGGACAGCCGCCGGCGTGCCGTTTGTGTGAGAGGACAGACCTCCTGTCGGCGGAAACTGTCGTCTTCGAGTGAGTGCAGATCTCCGCCACTGCATCATCACAACGTGGCATCGTCGAGCTCTTCTGGCCATAACACTCACCCACAGGTGAGCACAGAGAGCACAACGCCGCGCAGCACCGATGCACGGCTGAGAGTTTCTTTGCTGCCTGGCCCGTTTGTCACGCAGGTGGCTGTCGCATCGTCCTGTCGGTATCGTGTGGGCAGCCGCGTGCTGATGGTGTCGGACGGAAAGGCAAGGAAGGGCAGCCACTTGTGGGTGGTGGCCGTCGTGTCCAAGCTGGAGCCGACTGCGGGAGGGACGAGGGTCTTCATGCGGGAGGTCGGTGGTATGGATGAGGAGTTCAAGACAGTAGTGCCCAACGCCACAAGACACTTCCACGAGCTTGACGACATCAAGGCAGTAAGCAGACACACACACACACACACACACACACACAGGGATGTCCTGTTTGACGAGGATCGGGTGCGATGGCTTCAAATGGGTTGGCCGTAAGGTTGTCCAGCAGCAGAGCCTCGATGGACAGAAGGTACACACCTGCACGGCATCGCTGACATGAATCCATCCTCCTCGACTCACGTGTCGCCTCTTGGTTGCGCAGAGCGGCGAGCCGTTCTCTATCCTCGACGCCATCGTCGATCGCCTCGGGCTTTATGAGGTGGCGGCTTTGTCGAGGGATTTCATGGACCTGCTGGGCGTTGCAGGGTGTGCCGCTCTCTTTGGTGCCTGCAAGACACTGAACGTCGCCACCAACATCACCACGAGCATCCAGGAGCGCATCGACGAGCTGCTGCGCGAGCAACAGATCGACGGCGTGCTGACGTACGACCAAAACACCACCCAAACCCAGCAGCAGCAGCCGCAGCAGCAGCAGGGAGGGGCCGGGCAGCAGCAGCTGACCCGACGGGGGTTTCTGGTGCGCCTGTGGTGGGTGCTGGTCAAGGGCGGGCAGTGGGCGGGCAACAAGCCGATCCTGCGCCTGGCCAGGAGCAGTGGCCGTCTGGCGTCCCTCCCACTCATCATCACATCGGCTGACGTGCTGCTGGTGACGGCCGACAAGGACCTCTACCTCGACCGCCCAGAGGCCATCCGCCAGTACAGCCTCTACGCCCACCGACTGGGCGACAGTATGCAGCTGACGCGCTTTGCCTTCAGGGCTTAGATTCTGGGCGGGTGGGACAGGCTGGGCGAGTGTGTGGTGAGGGTGCACACACAGCGGACGGTGGCGGATGAGTATGCGGATCGATTCGATGGTGCCGATCCCCCGTGCCGATGTGAGAGAGGGGAGGGCACAGCACCACAGGAGAGCCAACTTGACATGGATGCTGTCTGCCGCTGTGTGTTTTTGTGTGTCTGCAGACCGAGGTAACGAGTTCGACGATGGTTTCGACTACAGCAGCTTCCGTGACGTGATCATCGACGAGTACGCAGCGACTCAAATGACAGAAGAAACAACACACCAATGTGTCATGTTGTCTGGCTTTTCGCTACCTGCTCTTTCAGGATGACAGAGTGGTCGTTGCGGCATGTGTCGCATCAGGACTGGCGTCCGCCCTGTGCTGAGTGTGACCGCATCTGTGGCCTGATCGACCAGCAGCCGCCCCTGTGGGACGGCTGCCGCACCATCGACTACACCTTGACCACCAACCGCGGCCCATACCGGCTCGTCATACTGCATGGCGAGGAGGAGGGCGACGACTTGGCGGTATCCATCATCATGGCCAAGCCTAAACCCTGGGGTAATGGGTCGGCATCCATCTACCTCTACACCACCGAGGCGCCCCAGCCGGGCGGCAGTGGCCCTGCTGCCTTCCCGCGGGCAGTGGCCATCGCCCACAACAAGATGGGCGACGCTGTGCGGCTACTGCCAAACATCTGACAGAAGAGCAGACGCTCTGGTCCGTTGGACACACGAGGGGGCGGGAGAAGCCATGTTGTTTCTTTGGCTCATTGTGTGCCCTCTTTGCCTCTGTGTGTGTGTGTGTGTGTGTGTATGTGTCAGGTATGTGAGCTGAGTGGACGATATGAGGGCTCTGGTGGTGTGATTGACACGTATGTGTTGAGTGAGGATGGCAATGGGGGCGGCTGACTTTAAGTGTCTGTCTTCCACGATAGTAGGCTCTCGCTGCGTTTGCAGCAGAATGATCATAGGTTACAGACAATCCGCTTACTCTAAAAGCCGATGTGATGTTCGTTGGTGGTGTGGGTTGGTGGTGTGTGTGGAGGGGGAAATCACGTGGGTGCGCACGAACCATACACACCATGAATGGCTATGGCTTAGTCATATACACTACACACATACACATACAGGTCCGTACAAGTCAGTCAGTGTCCAGTGGTGGCATCAGGATCAAGTGACGTCAAGATCAAGCCCATGCATCTCTCTCATCTCGACATCTCCCATGTCATCTCTCACACACCGCAATCGGCACTAGCATGCAAATTTCTCTCTCGTCCACTCCCACTCCCCTCCCCCCTCTATGCTGTGTGCGAAACATCTCTCTCTCTCTCTGTGTCTCTCTCGGGCATCAATGCTTTCGAGTGGATGAAGAACACGCACACAGCCGGCCTTGCAAGCAAGCCTTCACACATCTGACCAACCAAAACGACCGGTGAAGTGACACATTGGTCGTCATCATAGAAGATGAACGAGTCCACGGTGAGGATGAGCATCCAACCGTAGCCTTGTGTGCCCACATGTGTGGTTCTGTGTGGGGGGCGTTGTGTGAGCAGAGTAGCCCAGTCCCATGCGATCCTCAATCCGCCTCTCATGCCGACAGAGACACGCACACATGGCAGATGGACAACTGACTGACTGACTGACCGACTCACCGACCCGACCGACCGATGGCTATATCAGATGGGTGTGGTGGGTGTGGTGAGTGGGCATCATATCAATGACATGCAGCACATCATGGGCACAAATACATCCCTCTCGCCGCTTGCAGACTTCCCCCGACCCACCAGTGACAGCCCGCCCTCCCCCCCCACCCCAACACACACACACACGCATCCACACAGCAGACGAGAGTGGGGTAGGCCACTGGGAAAAAACGATGAACATAGAAATCGATCGGCATGAAACGTCACTCACTTGCAAATGGCTGGCTGAGTGAGTGCGACGCACGCAGAAAGCGCGGTCAGCGAGAATGCGATGAATGCGTGCGTGTGTGTAGGTGTGTCATAGCGAGACACATGAGACACACAGAAACAAGCAGAAACAAAGCTAGGAGCGAAAACACAGCTGGGTCAAGTCAGAGAGAGAGAGAGAGAGAGAGGGATGGGAGGGAGAGGGAGGGGGAGGGGGAGAGAAAGGGAGAGAGAGGTTTCTGAGAGTGGATAAGATGAAGGCTGTATGCAAAACAGAAAAACACTGCCCAGCGGATGAATGGAAGGATGAGCGATGTCACGCTTCGCTTACACACAGGATGCCCGCGCCACTCACGCCCACACACATAAAACACACACACACACACCCCAACACAAGGCCGGCCATCGATTGTGCGGAAGTATTCCCGTCCTCCCTCCCTCCCCTCAAGCACACACCCATATGTTCCCTTTACACACACGCACTGCAACAAATACCTAGTGCCGATCTCTACAGCCTATCTCCGCTTCGCGTGGGTGCGATCCTCTACACTCTATCAAATATACCTCCGTGTGTGTGGGTGGGTGGACGGGACGGATATGATGTGTGTGACCACCACCCTCCCTGACCTGACCCCTACCTCTCTCGCTTGTCAATGTGTGTATTTTATGTGTTTGAGTAGAGTACTCTACAGGCGAGTGGGAAAGTCTCGTGTGTCCTGGATGGATGGATGGATGGCATGGATGCGCCAAAAAAAGGAGTCGAGTCTGACTTGACGCACACACCAAGAGGGAGGGCTACGGCTACACTGGTGGGACTGATTACTGCTCAGACCGGACAGACAGCTATGGCTCTTTTCTCTTCAAGTGGGGCGGACACACAGACACACACACACACACACATGAGCTGAGATATATGAGATGGGGTCGTACAAACACACACACATACACTTACACACATATGCACATATCCACACACACAGAGAGAGAGAGATACACTCAGACATACAGGAGTGGCGTACAGAGATCTGTAGTACTCTGATCTTTCGTTGGTGCGATAGAGCGATGGACAGACAGACAGACAGACAACAGACAGACAGAGCGATAAGAAAGACACAGTCAGCCAGCAGCCAGCCATTCATTCATCCCGCCCCCCTTGCCCCTGTACGCGCCTATACAGACAGCCCCAGCCAGTCAGTCAGTCAGTCAGCGCACAGACCAGTCAGTCATATACAAAGCCGACATCTACATACATAGAAATGCACCCATCCACACGCATACACACCCCCACCCTCACACACCTTTACACACGAGAAACAACAAACCACACCGCACCGCCCCACATCGGCTGCCGTTGATGCTGCTGCCTCAGGCTGTAAAAAAAGCATATATACTCACTCAGTCACTCACTGCTATCTTCCTAATCCCTGACTTGTTCGTTCCGGCAGCCATCAGCCAGCCATCCATTATGCGAAAAGAGCGGAAAACACCGCACCGACCCCCCACGCCCCCGACAACCAGACGGACAGGCAGCTCACGCCACCTCTGTTTGTCTCTGTCTGTCATGAGGAGCCAGGCACGTCGCCCCTCCGAATGTCCATGACCTCCACTGTCCTGTCGATCCTCAGCTCCATCTCGATGTCATAGCAGATGGGCCTGACCGAACTTGACACCACATAGTCGTCATATTGCCTTCCCGCTGCTGCTGATGCTGCCGAGGGGGGTAGTGGTGGGCGACCTGCTTCGCCCAGCTCCGACGACGAGGAGCACTGGCTGTCGTCGGTGCTGCTCCCCCGCTCGTCTAGCTCGGTCGCATGTTCCGCATCAACGTCGTGGGAGCGGTACTCTCCCTCGGTGTCAGTCGTGATGGAGATGTCGATGTGCGATGGCGGGGTGCACTTGGTGGGGGTGCTGGTGGCGGTGGTGTTGGGGGCACCACCCTGCTGCTGCTGTGGGTCGAAAGGCCCGACGAGAGAGAGGAGTACGGGCAGCAGGATGATGCCGTGCGCAAAACCCAACACCAGCACCTGACAAACAAATGACAAGACATCCAATCCACTGTGTGTGTGTTGGGGGGAAGGGTGTTGGTTGGGTCAGTCGGCTTAGCTTACGAGTGTCATCATTCTGAAGAAGACAACGAAGATGAACGACTCGACGGTGAGGATGAGCATCAAACACAGCTGCGTCGACACGGCACCGTGGAACACCGGATTGCCCATCAGCACCAACGTCTCAACCATCCTGCGCACGCACCAGACACCACACACGCACACACACACCACACACAGGGAGAGACAGAGAGAATGGATGGATGTCATCCCTCTGTCCCCCTCTCTCTCTCTCTCTCTGTTTACCGGTGGTCTCTCGTCTTGCCCACACAGTGTGTGAAGGTGTGGACGATGTGGGTGGTGTAGTCGACAGAGAAGCCGATCGAGATTATCAGCGTTATCATGGTCAGCATGTTCAGCGTCAGCCCCCACAGATGCATAAAGGCAAACAGCCCCAGGTCAATCATGACGATCATCGATATCACCAGCAACGGCGCCTTCCACTCGGCAATAAGCAGAATCGACACCGCCACGACAGCCACAAAGCACCAGGCCAGGCTGGTCAGGGTCTCTTGGAAGATCCGGAGCTCGCTCTCGAGAAACACGAAGCCACGGGTGTAGGCCAGTGGCCGGAGGGGTGACTCGGCAGTGTCTCGCCTGACGCCCTCCATGAAGGACGAGACCCCCACAGAGGAGTCGTACCACTTTCCCCATAGCTGAAACCGATAGCTCGCCAACCCTCCTGCCAGCCATCCCACACATACACACACAGAGACGCATCCACGAAAGGTTCTCTTGAGGTTTAGGGTTTAGGGTTGAGAAACCCTAAACCCTAAGACATACCATCAGGGGTGAACTTGAACCCGGGCGCGAACTGGCGGTACATTGGCGTGTCGAGGAAGCTCGCCAAGCCGGCGGAGAATGCCGCCATCGCCTCTGTGTCCTCCAGGCCCTCACCAGGTCTCCGCTCCTCCCGCCCAGCCGGGCAGAGAGACCGCCGCTGCTCATGCCGATCAGACGATGCACTAAACCATACCAACACACACAACGACACAGTTTCCATGTGTGTGGGTGTGTGTGGTTTATCTTATAGTGACTGACTTGTATGCGTTGATATCGGCGTCTCGTGCGTGTATGCCGCACTGCAGGTGGGAGTCGAAGCATCTCGAGCAGCGGAGGTACTCGTACAGGCCGTCCCACAGGACGCCGCTCGAGTAGGGGGCACTCTGCAGCCGACTGTGCATCGAGATAAACTCATCCTAACACACGCACACACACACCGAGAGAGAGGGGGCTGCAGACATGAGCAGAGAGGGAGGGAGGGAGGGCGGACCTGCACTTGTGGCTTCCACCATTGGACGTTTTGTGGGAAGAAGACCTCCACCTCTTCGCCATAGGTCGTGAAGTACTTCTCAGACTCCTGGAAGAATGTCTGTCGAGAGAGAGAGAGAGAGAGAGAGAGGGAGAGGAGGGAGGGTGTGTGTGTGTGTGGTTGTGTGCGCCCTTGTGGGTACCCGGAGGTAGGAATCCGTCGGCGTGAGATACACCAGCCGCATCCCCGCCCTCATTTGCAGACAGCCCCACACCGCCACCGCCACATAGCACGCAAACACCAGCAGCACCAGCCCCTTGCACACCCCACTCCGCAGCGCCCTACCATAGAACTCCATGAAGAAGCGCCGCCAGTTCTTGCCCACAGTGCCGCGGGGCTCCTCACACTCGCCGTCTGGCGTGATGACGTCATCGATGGACGTCACAGATGATGATGGGCCGATCATCCACTGCTGCGACTTGCTGCTGCTGGGGTGGCTGTGGCTGGGGCTGGGGTGGTTGGTCTTTGTCCTCCTCTCGTGCGCTTCGAGCTGCCGTGCGACAAGCTGGTAGGTGGAGGGGAGGGGGGCGGGGGGGAACGTTGAGGGCGGGACGGAATCCTGCAGACAGACAGACAGACAGAGGGACGGAGGGAGGGAGACGCCGTGTGTGTGATGAGTGTGTGTCCTGCCATGGTGCAGACTGACCTTGCTCGAGGTGGTCGGTGCGTCGGGCGGCGCGTGGCTGTGGCTGTGGCTGTTGACCTTGTGTCTGTGGCTGCGTATGGGCGTGATGCGGGGAATACCGGTGATCTTGAACGGCAGTATGTCGGCATACCCCGCCAGCAGGTGCCGCTGCTTGGCCTCCTCTCGCCGCGCATCCAGACACAGAAAACCGAGGAAGAATGTTAAGGCCATCACATACCCCTGAGACACACACACACACACACACAATGGTGTGGTGTGTGGATTGCCCATCCACTGTCGTCCTCAATGGCTGACCGACCATTGCCAGCCCTGCAGCCGTGACGAGGGCGAAGTTCTGGATGCCCTGATAGGGGCTGGCGACGCCGATAGCGAAGGCCACGAGGTTGGTGAGGGTCGTGATGGTGATCGACACGCCTGACACACATGACACACACACACACACACATACAGAGGGAGAGAGTTGAGGTGTCTTCGTGTCGGTGTGTGTGTCGTTATGTGTCTGGCGAGCTGACCGCAGTCTTCGAGTGCGATAGCGCATCTCTCCCGGGCAGAAGTGGCCTTGAAGGCCAGGCTGTACGAGTTCATCATCACAAACATGTCATCCACACCGATTCCTACACACACACACACACACACTCTTCTCGCCCTTTTCTCTCTCCCACCGCGCCCGCCCGCCGCCCACCCACCCATAACGAGAAACGGCGTTGCTTCTGCGGGCGGCACGTGCATCAGCCCACACAAGTGACACAGCCCAGCACCGGCAAGATAGCCCAGGCCAGCCGCCGCGCACCCACACAGTGCTGGGATGGACTTGCACTTGGAGAGGTCGGTGGAGAAGCTGACCATCGCGGCGTAGGCGAAGATCATGAGTCCGGCCAAACCCAACTTGATCAGGTGACCCATGTCGAGTGACGTGCTGGCCGCCAGCTCGTCGTCTGCACACACATGAACGATGGGATGGTGGGCGGTGCGGTGTGGTGTGTGTGGGGAGGGAGGGACTCTCTGTCTGTCTATCTGAGTCACTGACCGATTGAGCGCGCTGCGTTGACGACTATGGTGACGTCGGGGATGTGCAGCTGGTGCGCCTTCTCGATGAACCGCTCTTCCCACTGCAGACAGGCCTGCAGCTTCGACGGCTCGCCGGAGCAGCTGTACCGGAATAACAGCGCTGCACAGACACACACACACGCGCACACACATACACACACACACACACACACAGAGAGAGAGAGAGAGAGGTGCATTTTCCATCCAAAAGCGTGTGGGTATGAGTGTGCATACCTGTGGCAGCCTGAACGTATTTCTCTCCCTGTGTGTTGGTGGCTGTGGTGATATTCTCCATCAGCATATCGTCCTGCCACACCCGGAACATCCCATCGCGCCGCGACACATGACGCGGGTACCGCAGCACATACGGCGAACCGAACATGCTGACACACACACACACAGATGGATGGATGGATGGACACCGCGGCACACCCAGACACCCACCTGTCGTCATGATACATCTGCAAGACGTTCTCCATCCCGCAGCGGCCGTCGCCGTCCTCCTGGCAGATGTCCGCCCACACGAACTTCAGCCCCCGGCCATCATCGACCTTCATGCTCCGGAGCTCCTCATCGAGCGCTCTGAACCGCCGCAGGGCGTCCCTCTGGAGCATGTTGGGCCGCCTGGCGGGGTCGCCGATGGCCACGAGGTAGGACTGCCGGGGAGGGAGGGAGCCGAACGTTGCTAGGTACGTCGCACGGTTCTGAAATACGGATGGACAGAAAAAGCCGATAGATCTCTTTTCTCCCCCTTCTGTGTGGAGTCGCATGTGGGTGTGGGTGGGTACTGTACCTGTGCTGATTGTGTGTCGTGTCTTGCGTATAGCGCCTCGGCCTCTGTCACAGGGTCGCGGGCGAGGATAAAATAAACCACACTGAAGCAGCACAGCAGCGGCACCAAAATGAACTGCACCACACACACACAGCCACACACAGAGAGAGAAGGGAAACAGCTGAGCTGATGCCCCTCCCTCCCCTCTGATGCTTGAATGCTCTCCACCCTCCCTCACCGGCCATGGGCGGTCGTACACAAAAAGAGCATATCTTCGAAACCCCCGCTGCAGCCACTCCACAAGCCCCGCCTTCCACCGGCAAATCGACCACCCCGCCAGCCCCCGGTGGCTCATCGCGCCCATCCCTCGCACCGCACTCCCTCCCGACCGACGTGTCACTCTCTCTCAGCCAGTCAGTCAGTCAGTCAGTCACCCAGCAGCGCCCGCACCGAAAGCAACCCCCGCACCCATACACCGACACGCAGGCGGCAAGGCAGCCACCAAGACGAAAAATGCCCTCTCACGCGAACACGCTGAGAGGGACAATGAATGCGATGATCTCGCCAGATTTCTTGGAGGGAGGCACAGGGGGGTAGGCAGTGATTCAGGGAAAACCTCGGGCGAGGAAAGAAGCCAGAAAAGGAGTGTGTCAAAGAAGCTCGCAAAGCTAAGCTCGCACTCGGCGGGGGCTAGGGGTGGGGGCGTCTCCAAATCCACCTCTCGGTGCCACTATGGATCAGGGGAGCAGCAGCAACAGCAATGGCAACACCATTGAGATGGGCCTCATGGGGGAAAACAACAGCGGCCAGCAGCTGCTGCAGCAGCAGCAAGAGGACGTCGAGGCGCCCGACGTCTCCGAGGAGGCCCCCCTGAAGGCCGCAGATGGCCCGCCGACTGCAGCCACCAGCAGTGCAGTGCTGACCCGCCCCACATATCTCACCGCTTTCGGGTTTCCGCGCTTCTTCGCGTCATGGATCATCGTGTGGTAAGTTACTGAAGCCATGGGAGCCACCGAATGAATGTTGTCTGCCTGCATGGCCATGGCGTGTTTGTGCATGTCGCGGTGCGTGCACTGCAGGTATCATTTCTACCAGTTTCAGCGGCCGTCTCACTGGGGCTACACCTGGGTGTACTTCTTCTATGTCCTGTCGGGCTTTGTGCTCACCTACACACGACTCACGGCAAAGGACCCGCAGAAGAACGATCAGGTGTGGTGTGGGCTGCGATGAGTGTGTCTCTCTGTGCAGTGCCGGCACAGTCGGGGGCAATGCCGCACTCTCTCTCTCTCTCTCTCTGTTTTTGTATGTGTGTGTGTGCAGGAGGGTTACTTGATGTTTATATTCCACCGCATGAAGGTACGGCACTACGTTCACTGCCTTCACTGCCTTCACTGCCTTCTACTCCGAGACATTAGGGCATCTACCCCATGTACGTCTTCTCCCTCCTTCTGGGCGTCTGGAACGTCCCCGCGCCCCCCTGGTCGGACCTCGCCTTCCTCCCCTCCATGGTCCTTCTCGTACACGTCTGGCGGTGGGACCTCGGCCTAGAGGACATCCCCTTCAACAGCCCCTCCTGGTTCCTCAGCGTGTTGTTCGCCTTCTACCTGCTCTTCAAGCCGCTGTATGCTGGAGTGACCAGGGTCAACCGGTGGGGCCTTTATGCTATCATGGCAGCCTGCATTGTGTGGCCAGGTCAGGTACCAAGACAGAGGGAGAGGGAGGGAGGGATGGAGGGAGGGAGGGAGGGAGAGGGGGAGAGACATGGAGGCACTTGTCTTGTTCGGCTCGGTTTGTTTCGTTTGTCTGTCTGTGTTTGTGTGTTTGGATCGGGTCACAGGGTTTTGTGACCGCGCCTCGTGGCGGTGGGGTTACATGTTCTTCAACCTCTACCCGCTGCACTTTGTCCCCATGTGCGTCCTCGGCATGGGCGTCGCGCGCATCTTCGCAGAGAACTTTTACAACCCCGACACAAAGAAACTGGAAATCGACCCAACCAAAGTGACAAGACAGGACAAGCCTGTGTGCAATGTCTGTGTGTGTGTGTGTGTGTCTGCCTGTGTGTGTGGCATAGGTGTCGTTTGTCTTCAAAATCGGCGTCATATTGAGCTACGCGATAGCCTTTTCCATCTACTTCACGCTAGAGATCACCTCGGAGCTGGGCTACAACCTGGTGTGGTACGTTCTGTACCCCCTGTGGACCCTCCTCATCTACTCACTCGCCATCGGCCTCGACCCCCTGGCAAGGCTCATGACCCATCCCGCGCTCGTGTGGACGGAAAACCTTGCTTGGCCCATCTACATCTGCCAGTACCCCGTTTTCGCCGTAAAAAAGCCACACACACACAAAACACACATGACACACGACACACAATCCCCAACACGCAGACCTCGGAGAGACACACAGCACGACTTTGGTTCTCTCTCTCTCTCTCTCTCTGTGCATGTGTGTGTGTGTGTGTTCAGGCGGGTCAGAGGTTCGTGGGCCCCTGGATGCTGGAGAATCCTCTGGCCAGAAACCTCACCTTCACGGCGGCGCTGGCGGTGTTTTCCGTGTTTGCTCACTACGTCGTGGACGAGCCCACGCGGGCATTCCTCAATCTGGGCAAGAGGGGCCACAAGTAGATAAACACATCGAAAGGAGTTGTGGGGGCTGGTGGGGTGGGTGAATTGCTGAGGTGACAACTTGAATGAATGGTCATCCCTGTTAAGTAGTCATAACAGAGCCCACAATGAGTCAACTGTAAGGGAGCAATGAGTCAACTGTGCTGCATGGATCTTTGTTTGCTATTGTTTGCCTCCCCTGAATGAGCGAGATCCCGGCGACAGAGATGCCTGGAAGGCGGCCACACACAGACACGCCATAACTGGCCATCCGAGGCCATCAAACCTCCAACATCATGATCCATCTCCCTCTGCTGGCTCATCAATTCCTGCAGGCGAGCTTGCAAAAGACGAATCGAACGTGGACGGCGACAGCAACCCTCTGGCACCTATCAAATTGCCCCCTGGAGCCGTGTGTCGTAAGCTCGCGGTGGGGCCCTGGGGGCATGAAAAGCCCGAGTCACCTGCCAGTGACGCTTCTTTCAAGGCATCTTGTGCTAATATACGAGGTCGGGGGCACATATATCTTCAAGGATGCCTCCGAAGATAGTGAGCAGCGTATCCGACGAGGAGACGTTCAAGTCCATCGTCTTCTCCAATGAAGACCCCAGGCTGCACAGTGAGGGAGCTGTTTGGCTGTGTGCAGTGCATGTGTGTGGATGGGTCGGAGACGCTCATCCTTGACGGACGCCATGCGAGTGTGTGTGTGTGTGTCAGTTGTTGATGTGTACACCCAGTGGTGCGGCCCGTGCAACCAGATGATGCCGCTCTTCAAGTCTTTGTCCATCAATGTCGACTTCTTTGAAGAGCGGGTCAACATCCTACAGGTGAGTTGAGTGAGGCGGAGCGGGGAGACGAGACGTTCTCTCCATCTCTCTCTCTCTCTCTCTGTGTGTGTGTGTGTGTGTCTCTGTCAGGTGTGTGCAGCGACCATTGGCGACTTTGAGAAGTATGAAGGCACGTCCCAGCCGACATTTCTCCTTTACAGGGTCAGTCACTGTCTGTCTATGTCTCTGTCCATCCATCCATCCATCCATGTGTGTGCGTGTGTGTGTGCAGGAGGGCAGTTTGGTTGCCGAGGTCAAGGGCGCCAACGCCCCAGTGCTGCTCAAGACTATCGACCAGAACCTGCCCCCACCACCAGACACCGACTGACTTGACTAGGTGCCTTGATCCATCTCATGAGTGAATGAGTGAGTGATTGTGTGTCGCATTCTGTCAATAAAGCCATCACCATGATGACTATGTGTGTATACCGACAACCGATAAACCACACCCCGCCACGCCACGCCACACAACACTTCATCCATCGCTGTCGACCATGTCGCCCCACGAGGCGAAGAAACCGTCCATGTGCGACAGCAAATGATACCTATAAGACACAAACACACACACACACACAGACACACACAGAGAGAGATGGACGTATGCCACCGAACGCACCGACCCGTCGCTCCCACCTGTCGGTGGCGATTCTGACGACGCAGGTCATGTGTGAGAGGGTGAATCGCATCAGCAGGTGGTGCCGCGGCGGCACAAACACCATCACACACACCGTCTCCGTAACCACACCACAACCACCACCACTGCTCCCTCCAGCTGCTGCTGATACTGCTGCTGCTGCTGCTGTTGCTGCTGAAGGTGAGATGTCAAGGGTGTCTCTGTCCGTGTCGTCGTAGCTGTAGACAAAGTGGGTGGCTGTGGGTGGGGAGAGGGGCGGAGGGGTGGGCGAGGGTCGACCATCCTGCTGGTGGTGCTGCTGCTGGTGGTCATGGTGACGGCTTGCCGGCGACTCGAAACACTCCTCCTGCATTTCACACACACACACAAACACACACACACACATGGGGTGTGTGGCTTGTTGGGTTTAGGCGTGGCTGACCTGTTCGAAGTCGAAGTCCTCCCTCTCCACCCTCACCCTTGACGGCACCACAAACGGCCCCAACGTCAACCCGATCAGCCGAACCACTCTCTCCCGCGACATCTCCAACACCTAATACACCACACCACAGTCACACGAGCATTCCGTGTGTGTGGTGTGGTGGCTCTGCCGCACGCACCTTAACGGATCTGCACATGTGCTGTGCCGTCCAGAGCGCCTCGAAGAAGGCTGCCCAGAGCTGCGGCGGTGCCCGTGGCGGGAGGCACATGTCCTGGAAGGTGACGAAGAAGGCTTCCAAGTGACCCGTGTAAGTCTGACCCTATACACACATACAGATCCATCCGCTCCTGTGTGTGTGTGTGTGTGTGTGTCAATGGTACCTACCTCGGCGTCGTTGAAGGCGATGCTCACGTTGAAGGACGTCGGGACCGGGGCGATCGGCTGCAGCCTGCACGATGCCCCCACACACACATACATGAGCCACCACACCCACACACCCACACCCACTCTCACTCACCTCAGCAGCAGCTTAAACATGCTGGGAAACCGCTCAGAGTCCCCAGTCCCCTCGCCGTCGCTGAGGTACGGGATTCTTATTGGCGCGATGGGCACAAAGTTGCTCGACGCCGAGAAGGACATCTCCAGCGCGTAGATCTGCCGAGGGAACGACGCTGCGGGGGAGGGGGCTGATGCTGGAGACGACAGGCACACCGACCCTTCTAGCAGGCTGCCCAGCTTGTTGCTGCCGCTGCCCTTGGCGGTGCCTCGTTTGTATCTCAGGACGAAGGGCAGCCGGATGAGTGAGGGGGCCGACTCGACAAAGGCGAGATACGCCTTGAGAGCGGCGCTCACGGCCTCTCTTGACAGCGATGGGGGGGCGATGGGTGTGGGTGTGGGTGTGGGTGTGGGCGACATGTGCACGACATCCATCATCTCCGTCGGTCGCCAGTCGTCTTCAGGCCGCTCGCCCCACCTCTCATGGAGAGCTATGTCTCCCGCCTGACACCACACACACACACACACACACATCCGCCCACACAGGGGCGGCAGAGACACCCACACTGACTGACCGACCTGAGTGGGCAGATGTGTGGGCAGTCTGAAGACGGCGTGTCCGCCGTCGTGCAGCCCGAGAGTGCGCCGCTCGTCGAGTGACTTGAAGAGGGTGAGGAACGGCAGGGGGCCGTCGAGTAGCCGGACTGTCCGGGGGATGACTGGGGTCAGGTGCTGCGCCAGCTGGTCCGGCACCTTGGCATCCTGACGCAGCACACGGCCTGCGCCCAATAGGCACACAGAGAGAGGGGGGGAGGTGAATGTAGGTCTCTTCCTCTTGTGTGTGTGTGTGTGTGTGTGTGTGTCTCACCGAGCGCAGCGCTGCCGGTGTGGGTGAGTAGGGTCATGTAGAGCAGCGCACGGTCCCTCATATCCACGTCAGGCTGCCATAGGCCACACACACACACACACACACATATGTAGCCATACACACAGACAGAGAGGGAGGGGGTATCTCCCCCCCCACACACACATATACCCACACACACGTGGTAGGTGGCTAGGTAGTCGAGCAGCCTGGTCATGGGCGTGTAGATGGCCCGCTGGGGGTGGTACAGCATCACCTTTACACACAAACACACACACACACACACACAGACCACACAATGCCCGTGATGCTTTCCCTCCCTCTCTCTCTCCCTCCCTCCCTCATTGCCCACCTGTCTGCACACGACGATGACGCGCACCCCCACGCTCCACGACCCCTGCACCGCAGGACTCATCACCACCCGACGCAGCGCCGTCAGCACATAGCCAGGGTCGATGCTCTCCGTCTGGGCTGCACACACACACACACACACACTGGCAGTGTGCGGCAGACGCACAGACAGAGACCCACCGAGAGTCACGAGGAGGGCGAAGTAGTGCGGGATGCGCGAGGGCGGCTCGAGGGTGCTGACGAAGTCGCCCAGGCTGCGCAGGATCTTGTAACCCACTGCTTGGCCCTGCTCGACGTGGCCAAGCCAACACAATACACAAGGCGTCTTGTGCACGTGTGTGGTGGTGTGCGCCTCTCTCCCTCTCCCTCTCTCTCTCTCTCCCTCTCTCTGTGTGACCTTGTGTGGCGGTGTTTGGCACCTTCTGACCATGGCCAGCACCGACGGCAGCAAATGGGGGTGAGACCTGCGGGGGGGCACACAAAAGACACAAACATACACCCACACACATGACTGACTGCAGTGAGTGGTATACCTCAGCAGGTCGCACAGGTAGCTCTCCAGCCCCAGCCGGTCAATGTGCGCCGCGAACCTCAGCAACACACGCAGCTGACACACACACACACACACACACACAGATCCCCCCTCCAATACCCACACCCACACACCGCACCCAAAAGTCAGTCCCGCCTACCATACCAGGAAGCGGAAGACGACAGCGTGTGCCCCTACGGGCCGGATGCAGTACCTGAACTCCGAGAGTGAGTCGAGGACGCACAGCAGATTGCAGGGGATGCGCCCGGTGCGCTCGAAACACCACAGCAGCGACTGCAGCTTCAGCTCCTTCAGATCTACACACACACACACACACACAGAGAGAGAGACGCACATACACATCTCTCTGTGTATGGGGCGGTGTGTGGTACTTACCCAGTGGGTCATGCCACTTGGGGCAGAGCTCCGAAGTGTATTGGAAGAGGATCGAGTCCATCGGCGAGTAACACGCCAGAGATATCAGCCACCTGCACACACACACACACATTGCACACACATGCATCTGGGGGTGGGGGGTTCAGTGCCTTCCCTGACAGACAGACCTGACGGCCAGCAGTCGGAAGCACGGCTCTACGGCGGTATTCTGAATGACCGACAGCAGACGCGCAAAGATCGCCTCCAACGTCTCCTGATCAGCCACACACACAAAGCAACCAACCAACCACACTGCCCATGGTGTGTTGGAGGCGCACGTACGTCTGGTATCTGCCCCTCTGTTTGGAATTGCGCCACAACGGCCAGCACCGCGTGGATCAGCGGAACCCCCAGCGAGTCCAGCAGCGGCTCGAAATGGTGCAGCACCACTCGGCACGGCAAAGCCAACAGCCTATGCGCCCAACCACACCGTCAGCTCTTCGACCACACCCACACCCATACCCACACCCACACCCACACACGCGGTATAAGCTTACCGAATGAAGAGAGAAAGGCGTTCGGCGACATAGAGCTTGGTCCACTCGCTGTAGGTGGGCATGGTCTCGAGCACCAGACTGATGGCCCGCATGAGTGTCCGGACCAGCTTCCGCGGCAGCCGGGGGGGCGACATGCCCTCGGGAAGGTCGTACGGCGGCAGAGGCAGCGACGACACACCGACCCCCGCACCATTACCGGTGCCATTACTGAGGCCGTTGTCAGTGCTGCCGCTCGGTGCTGATGCTGCATGGCAGTTACACACATACAAACAGAATAGACCCACACTGCATCCCTCACCACTTGGTGTGTGGGGGATTGGCTGTGGAGGGGCCGGGAACTGAGGCGCCTGAGATGACGGCTCCCTCTCCCTCTCCCTCTCTCTCTCCACGTCATCCAGAGAAGCGAATGCCGGCATTGGCGGCATGGCCGGCAGCCCGGCGGCGTCCTGCCTGGTGGGGGCGAGCATGGGTGCCATGGCCACTGAGGATGCAGCGCTGAAGGGGGTATCATTGTTGGTGCTGGTGATGGTGGTCGAGGACTGGAGGGGGAGAGGGCCGCGGGCGACGATCTCCTGCACAAGCTGCACACACACACACACATCCATCCATCCATCCGTGTGTGTGTGTATGTCTGTGTGTGTGTCACCTGCTGTGTGAGGTGCAGCACAGTCGTAAAGAAAAGCCGCGCGTAGGCCTCGTTGACGTGCAGCATCTCGTCAGCCACAAGGGCGCCCAGCTGCAGCTGCTGCCGGTGCGAAGAGGGCGGCGGCGGCTGTGTGGTGCGCACCGTGGCCGTGTAGGCCGAGCCTGCGTGCCAATCTGGCCCTAGAAGGGGGTAAAGCAGCCCTGGGTGAGCGAGCTCGAGCTGATGGAGGCACTCGCAGGCGTAAGCCCGGAGGACCCTGTCAGCGGGGCGGTTGATATTCTTGACCACGCCGCACAGCAGGTCGACGAACTGGTCAAAGACCTACACACACACACACACACGGAGAGAGAGAGAGAGATCCCATCAGCCCCCGAGGCGCTTGTCGCCCACCTGTGGCTGTGCCTCAAAGCAGTTCATGTCGAGCAGCAGCGTGGTGTAGGTCACCAGCGCCTGAGCCTTCAGCCCATACGACACCGCCAGAGCCACGTGGGTGTGGTGCTCCGCCGCGGCTGTGGGGGCGCTGATGAGGTTGTCTATCACAGAGAACACCTTGTTCAGCCGCGAAAAGTCCTGGATGAGCGCCGAGGCATGCTCCTCTAGGAAGAGCAGCGCGCTGGTGCGGAGGATCTCATCCCGCTCTGTCAGGATGGTCAGCAAGATGGTGTCGAGCAAAGTGGCGTTCCACTGCTGCTGCTGCTGATGGTGATGGTGAAGGAGCGGGTCGGCGACGACGGAGCGGAGGGCTTTGTGTGCGGCGTCTTCGTTCCAGCTGAAGGCGTACCTCAGCATCTCGTGCGTCCAGTCCGCCATGATGGCATGGATGAATCAAATCAATCAGACAGAAAGTCAGCGTATTACGACCGCGTTGACGTCCTCTCCCAGCCTGGTTGCGAGAAGGGCACAGATCTGCGCCTCTCGCAAAGCTAAGCTCGCAGCCGGAGGGGAGAGAGGGGAAGGAGGGCGCAACCGATAGAATGCATGGACTTTAGTTGCATAGGTTTGATAAAGCAATAGCAAAAGGAACGAGCACCGTCGAGAAACGACCCTCCCTCCCCACTCACATACGCAGACTAGAAACACAGACAGACACGCAAGCACACACATGTACACACGCACGCACAGACATACCCATACATGCAGAACACGTACATACGCACAGACATTCACAGACACACAAGAGGTCAGAAAAGCGCAGCCCAATTGGCGCAGCCGAGCGAGCATCTGACACACACGATGAGTGCAGGCAGGCATTCCCTCTCACTCCATGAGAACAGAGCTCGAGGTGCTGCTCCCCGACCAGCCTGAGAAGCCACCCTCAACCCTGACCTGAGCCCAATAGCTAGACTTCTGCCGGCACGGCCCACAGTGCCAGTACGAGCGTCCGCAGGACGGACAGTTCCACCCAGCCAGGCCCTTCTCCCCTATCTTATTCATGACGGAGCTATCCACGTTGCAGCTGTAATTGCCGCACCCGCCGCAAGAGATGGATGTCACAGCACACCCGCGGCCGCTAGTGCAGATGAATCTCCCCTTGTCGGACTCGAAAAACAGGCGGCGAAGGGATGCCACCTCCTTTGTGAGTGCCTTGATCTTGTCCTCCACCTGCTTCTTGCGGGCGTCCACCTTCTGGTCGATGGTCAGCGTCTCGAGCTTGCCCAGCTCGCAGTGGATGGTGTCGATGTTCTCCTTGAACTTGCCCAGTACCTGCTCACACACGGAGCGAGGGACGAAACAAGAGGATGTTGGCGATCTGGCCCGTTGTGTGCATTTGGTCGGTCACCTCACCTCCAGACATTTGCTGCTCCCCACGCACAAGATCCAGTGCTCAGACGCCGACAGCAGCGCCGTGTTGAGCCTCTTGAGGTCGGCGTAGGTCTTGGACTCGTACGAGATGTTGTCCTTGAAGGGATCCTCCGCGATGACGGTGAGCTTGGCCTCGACCACGTGACCGTCGATGAGTGTGGCCACTGGTGAGGTGGCGTTGTTTCATGTCGCTTGGAACGCGCCGTTGCTGAAGCTGATGTCGGCCTTCTGACCCACAACCACAGATGCGTTCGCTGCCTTCTTCTGGTCAATGCGCTCGATGGCCTCGCAGTTGATCTGCATGAAGGGACAGAATAAAGGCATGGGGAGGGGAAAGGAGTTCGTCCTTATGCATCAGACCGCCTCGCACCTTCTGTCGGCCACGTATCTCCTCCAGCAGCTTGTTGGCTCGTTCCTCTCTGACAGCAAGGCAGTTGCACGCCTTGCCGGAGCAAGTGTCAGCCATCCTGATACCAAGATCTTCGAGAACGACAGCTCTCGTGACGCGAGCTTGAAAAGGAAGAATGCGAAGCTCGCAAAAGAGAGTGGAAGGGAGGGAAGAGGCGGAACGTCGCCTCTCAGGACCAGCCTGTGAAGCCCACGCCGAAGATCTTCAACACCCAGATGCATCGGCGGCTCACACTCATCGGCTCCAAGATCTTGCCCCTCTCCCACCCACCGCCCTGTCTGCCACAGCAGTCGGCCGCCTTCTCACTGGGCATTTGGCCTTCCAGGCGGACGTCATCCAAGGAAACAGAGGCAGCCAAGAGCAACCCAGCAGCGACGGCAGCTGCGGGAGGGGCGGACAAGAAGGATGACAAGACGACTGCCAAGGCCCAACCGGCAGCACCAGCAGCAGCAGCCCCTGCTGCAGAGGCCAAGAAAGCGGAGGTCGACAAAGTAAAGGTCAGCCCAACCACTGCACACCAGGCGTCGTAACAAGCCTCCATGTGTCCGTGTGTTGTGTGGGTATGCCATTGACGATGCAGGCTGCTCCCCCTCCCCCTCCCCGGCCCTCTGCAGCAGCCCCAGCCAAAGGGCCGACGCCCAAGCCAGCACCAGTGGTGCGCCGCGAGCCGGGGCCATTCGCCCGGCTGAGGTCGTTCCTGTCGGGTGTGATAGTGTCGAGTGCTGTCGGGTTTTACGTGTTTTACTTCCACATGTGGGATGCCAACCTGGAGCTGTCGGTGCTGGTCAAGGATGTGGCCAAGAGGCAGGCGCTCATCGAGAAGAGGCTCACCGAACTGGAAAAGGCCGACTGACTGACTGAGAGAGGAGGGAAACGGGGAGCAGCGAGGCGGCTTAGGTTTTGACTGTTTAATCTCTTCTTTTCCCTTCTTTACTTTCTGCTCCCATACACACACGCGGCGGGAGAAAGATCGATGGAGAAGAGGCCAGTGCTGCATGCGCCATGGTGGTGATGTCTTGTGTGGTTGTGTGGCGTCTATGTTTTTTCGTGCGAGGCATTGGGGATGATGCCCTCTTGACGGCCCTTCCCTCCCTCCCTCTATCCATTTCTTCTGAGGGCGCGGCGGTCTCACATTACTTCTGGTTTTCCTCTGCCAGCCACACATTGATTAGACTTTGGTGTGGCGTTGGGTGCGGGAGTGCGTGTGGCTGTCATGTCATGTGATGTCATGTGTGTGCACTGATGTGTGCTGTGCACAGAGATCGACCATGTGTTGCGAGCCGAGTCGAGTCGAGAAGTGAGAGGGAGGCAGCAGACATTTGTTTGTGTGCGTGGCACAGGCGGGCCGAGACGAGCAATGTGTGTGGTTTGAATCGTGGCATCACAAATCTCAAGTATGTCACATAACGCACACAAACATCTCAAAACTGGATACAGACAGAGAGGGAGAGGGAGAGGGAGAGGGAGAAAGAGGAGACTCAGAAAGGTCGGTCGAGAGTCAGACGCAGCAGACGCCCACCAGCCATCAGACGTGCACATGAAGGCGTCGAATCTGGCCGCCAGGCGATTCAAGTCACCCAGCCGCCCCCGGCCGCCGCTGCGGGGGTCAGGGTCAGATGGGTCAATCGAGGATTTAAAAGCAGCAAACACCCACATGCGCTCAGCAGCCCCCATTGCCCAACCCCCACGCACATCGATATGTCCCGCCACCCTCCCCACCCTCCCATCCGACCAGCCGGCTCGCGACGCATCGCAGCACCGACAGACAGACAGACAGACAGACGGTGAGGTGCCTGATGCGGATACACCAAACAAGGTGAGGGAGGGGAGAGCAGACGTGGACAGACTTCCCCCTCCCCTCATGTGTCGTCTTCGTACCTGTATCTATTGCAATGTCAGATGTTTGGCAGTAGCCGCCGCACAGCGTCGCCCATCTTGTTGTGGGCGATGTCGACTGCCCGCTGGAAGGCAGCAGGGCCGCTGCCGCCCGGCTGGGGCGCCTCGCTGGTGCGGAGGGAGAAGAATGCCTCCTCATCACGCCTCCTCATCACGCCACCTTATCATCCTGATGTATGCCATGAATTCGTCGCCCTCCCTGTCGCCACACAGTATGACGAGTCGGTATGAGTGGTGGTCGTAGTAGTCTTTGTAGTCGATGGTGCGGCAGCCCCACACGGGCGGCTGCTGGCGGATCAGGTCACCGATGCGGTTACACACAACAGAGGGCGGAGTGCCTGTCCGATACGACACCAAATGCGACGACGACGGCAATGCCAACCTGAAAGAGCAGCGAGGCAAAAGGCAGACAACACGCCAGATTGCTGTGTCGTGTTCTCCCATTTGAGTCGCTGCTCACATGTTGATGACCATCTCACGGAAGCTGCCATGCCGGTTACCAGACTTGTAAACCGAATCTGCAGACACAGACACACAGCGGCAGACACCATCCATGTCAAGTTGCCTCTCCTGTGGTGCTGTGCCCTCTCTCTCTTGCAGTGTTGGCACGGGGGATCGGCCGCATCGAATCGATATCTGGCCGGCACCGTCTGCTGTGTGTCCACCACCACGTCCCACTCGCCCAGCTCGTCCCGCCCGTCGGCATTGCGCGTCAGCTGCATATTGTCGCCCAGTCGGTGGCTGAAGAGGCTGTACTGGCGGATGGCCTCTGGGCGGCTGAGGTAGAGGTCCTTGTCGGCCGTCACCTGCTGCACGTCAGCCGATGTGATGATGAGTGGGAGGGACGCCAGACGGCCACTGCTCCTGGCCAGGCGCAGGATCGGCTTGTTGCCCGCCCACTGCCCGCCCTTGACCAGCACCCACCACAGGCTCTCCAGAAACCCCCGTTGGGTCAGCTGCTGCTGCCCGGCCCCTCCCTGCTGCTGCTGCTGGGTGGTGTTGGTGTTGTGGTCATACGTCAGCACGCCGTCGATCTGTTGCTCGCGCAGCAGTCGGTCGATGCGCTGTTTGATGGCCTCGTCCGACAGCAACTGGAGCGCCTCATCTCCGAGACTATGCTGCTCGACGAAGGCGTTGAGGAGGGCCGGTGGGCAGCGGGCGACCAAACAGGGAGGCAGCAGTCAGTCACGATGTGCTGTGCGGCCTTTGTGCTCTCTGTACTCTCTGTGCTCACCGGTGGATGAGTGTTATGGCCAGATGAGCTCGACGATGCCATCGTTGTGATGATGCAGCAGTGGCGGAGATTTCCAGTCACTCGAAGACGACAGTTTCCGCCGACTGGAGATCTCTCCACTCACACAAACGGCACGTCACCGGCTTTTTTTGAGTCAAGCCGTTTGCAAGCTACCGGGCCCCACTCTTCCTCCAAACAGAGACTCTATTTCGATCTACTTCGATCCACTTCTGGCTCGCTTCCTGTGTCTCCCCATGACCCTAACACAGATCAGAGGTGTCCTCAAAGCGACGTCCCCTTCTCCAGCATCGATTCGATCTCTCTCGCGAGCTTCAAACATCCTGCGGCCTTTGTGGCTCGCGGGAACACGACACTCAAGCCGATCTCTCTTGATGCGGCGATGACACCAAGCCTCTTCATCGCCGTGTCTCTCAAGCCTCTTCATCGCAACGATGGCATCGTCGAGCTCTTCGGGGCAAATGACTCATCCACAGGTGAGAGCAGAACAGCACACGACCACACAGCACAGACGCGCACGGCTGATCTGTCCCGCAGGCGGCTGTCGGTGCATCGCCGTGTCGGTATCTCGCGAGAGAGATCAGCACTCTTCATCGCCGTGTCGGTGCTTCAAGCCTTCTCTCTTGCGATAGGACGAGATCTGCACTCACTGGAACACGACAGTTTCCGCCAACCGGAGGTCTGTCCTCTCACACAAACGGCACGCCAGCGGCTGCGCTCAAAAGCGAAGCCGTCGACTTCTCCTCTGGAAGGGGGTCGATCACGCGAGCTCAAAGAGGGGAGGCGCATTCTGCGGCTTTTGGCGTCAGGCAGACGAGGCCATCGCTCAGAGGACTCCCTCTCTGTCCCGCACGACAGAAATCTCATCGCACCTCTGCCGTGTTCGTCGTGAGCCCTCCCGTTGGCGGAGTGCTGCGCGGCGTTGTGACTGATTGGCTCATTGACTCATCGGCTGACTGATTTGCTTGTCGGACGTTCGCTGCCCTCTCACCGGTAAGCACAGCACGACAGATGACAGACAGACAGACAGACAGACAGACGTGTGAACGGCACACTCACTGCGCCACTGTGTGTGTGGTGGTCTTCAGGCGTCGTGTGGGCTGCCGTGAGCACAGCGGGCGGCGGTATGTCCAGCACATCGGCATCAGCTGCTGCCGCAGGTGGGCTGACTCACTGAGTGGGAGAGGGAGGGGAGGGCTAACCTGTGTGTGGTGTGGTGTGTGTTGGCCAGGTGGTGGTGGAGGTACCGGTGTGTTTGGAGTCAATGACGTCAATCACAGCGCCACACACGACGATGAGCAGTCGGTGAGCCATGGTGCCGCCGCACAAGCAAAGATCGTCATGGACTCGTCTGTCTGGTTCTCGTGAGTGATGATGTTGTGTGCCGTGTGTACCTGCCGGCATCGCCTCCTTTTGCAGAAGTCGTCTGATCTGTTGGCGTGCATGGTGAAGTTGCACCATCAAGTAGGTGGCTTGGCTGCAGGCTCAGACGAGAGGACATGTGGGCAGACAGTGGCGGGTGTGACGTGTCATGTGTGTCGTGCGTGCGGTGTGTGCAGATGGGCGACTCGATCAGATATCTCGCTGCCAAGGTGTGTCAGTGGGTCGACAAATGGCTGACTGAGCACACATCACATGGTGTGTCATTGCTCACTCCCTCCTTCTTTTGTATGTGTGTGGTTTGTGGCTGTATGTGCAGGGGTCTGTCGTTGAGAGTCACCTGTCGATGCTGGAGAGAGCCATCGCAGACACCTCGAGTGCACTCGGCCGACTCAATGGACTGGCACTGGTACGCACACACGCATGCATCACTCATCCGCCCTCCGGCTTTTCCTTTTTATGCTCTGGTGTGTGTGTGGCTCAGTTGGAGGGCCACTTCAAGAACTTCGCATTTGTCCCTCCAGACGATGAGGTCGAGGAGGGGTGGAGAAGGATCGAACCCCTCTTCGCAGAGGTACGTGCATCGGACCCACCGATGCGATGGACGCACACCGACATTGTGGCCACTGACCTGCCTCATCTGATCTGATCTGCAGGAGTCGTCCAGCAATGGGGATCTCTCTGACCACTCATCCGACGCAGTCGACTCGCAGACAGAGACGGTGGCACAGGTAGGTACGAAGCCACGTATTCCGTATGTGTGTGTGTATCTTCTTTCTTATTGCATCGCGTCGCTTCTTTTGCTTCAGGGCCGTAGCAGCCGATTTGCCGACAAGGCCGTCACTGATGAGACCACTAAGGCTACAAAGACACAGAAGAAGGTACGACAGCTGAGCTGCTACACCGTGCTGCCGACATCATGACGGCCGACGTATGCTGCGCTGCGCGTGCCATTCGTTGTCTGTCAGGCTCATTTGGTTGGGTTTGAGTTCGTGCGGCAGCTATACACCCTGCCCGAGGCCCTCATGCACGACACACTCCTCCCCCTCATCCACCAGCACCCCCACACCGCACTCGCCAAGGTCAGCAGTGCCCTCTGCTGCACCTCACCGGCAGTCGGCAGCGCCGTCGCGGCCGCCCTCATCCCACAAATCGACAGCATCATCCAGCGCGACGGCCTCAGCGGCGTCACCAGCTACACCCAGATCCGTCGGCACCTGCAGCGGCAGCGGGTCGGGCGATGGATGTGTGTCGGCCATTCCGATTGATCCGCTTGCACTACCTGATGCTGACGGGGGGCGACTGGCGGGGCAACGTGCCGCTGCTGCGGCTGGCCAAGAGCTGTGGACGACTGCAGCAGCTGCCCATCAAGCTGACGGGCGACGATCTGCAGCACGTGGGCAGCAAGGCCGTCGTCGACAGCCGGCCGCCCAGCATGAGGCAATACGCCCTCTTCAGCCACCGACTGAGCGAGGGGATGCAGCTGACGCGGGATGCCAACGGGGAGGACGAGCTGGGCGTGCGTGAGGTGACGGTGCACAGCGATGCGGCCGATCCCCCGTGCCGACGTGAGAGATGGGAGGGCAAACCACCACAGGAGAGCCAACTTGACATGGATGGTGTCTGCCGCTGTGGGTGTGGGTGTGTCTGCAGACGATGCTCTCGAGTATGGCAGCTGCAGAGGACTGATCATCAAGGAGTATGCAGCGACTGAAATGAGAGAAGACGACACAGCAATGTGTCGAGTTGTGTCTGCCTTTTCCCTCGTTGCTCTTTCAGGTTGGCATGGCTGTCGTCGTGTCGGGTGTCGTATCACTGGTGGGATCCGCCCTCTCCTGAGATTGATCACATCGCTGGCCTGACCAGCCGCCGCCCATTGGGGCTGCCGCACCATCGGCTACCACGACGGCACCATTTCATACCGGCTCGTCATACTGTGTGGCGACCAGGAGGGTGACGACTTTGCGGCATACATCATCATGACCAGGTGGCCTGATAGGTCGGCATCCATCTCCCTCCGCACCAGCGAGGCGCCCCAGCAGGGCGTCAGTGGCCCTGCTGCCTTCCAGCGGGCAGTCGACATCGCCCACAAGAAGATGGGCGACGCCATCACAGTACTCCCAAAGGTCAACGAGGCCATCAACACAGGTACACACGCACGAGAACACCACGTGAGCCCAACACAAGAGTGAGACTGTCTCTTGTTTCATGACTGCAGCTGGCGGGATGGCGTCGACGTGACTGACATGGACTTGGGCGGCGGCACACACGAAGACATCGGAAGTAGCTGACGTGCAATGGGGCGGCAGAGGGGAGGCCGCGAGATGGACCGACCGACTGGACTGCCTTCATCCGGTGTCTGTGGTGTGTTGGAATCCCTGTCTTTTTTACTTCCTCGTGTGTCGATGCGGTGCGTCTGCTTATCTGTCTGTCTGTTTGGGTGGACATACACCGCATGAACCGACTGGGTGAGTGGCCGGACTGCCTCTCTGCACGAGCATCCTTTGAATCGATGGATGACACACACCGAATGTCAATCTGAGTCTGTCAGTCTCTGTCGCGACACCACACACACACACAGCTTCCCGCCCTCGCAAAAAGCAGGCAATATCTCTCACGGTCTGTCTGTCTGTCTGTTTGTTGTGTTTGTTACCCTACTAGAAGCTGCACACTGCACATACATACACCCATACGCCCCCTCTCAATTGCTCCCGCCCCTCGAACCATCCGATCATCAGCCGAGCCATTTGGTGAAGAAGTCGTTGCCCCTGTCGTCCACAACGATAAAGGCCGGGAAGTTCTCCACCTCTATTTTCCACACAGCCTGCACACATCGCATCCATTCCACCCAGAGAGAGAGAGCGGCATTCTGCGTGGCCGGGCCGTGTGTGCGCAAACACATACACACCTCCATGCCGAGCTCTTCGTATTCCACCACCTCCACCTTCTTGATGCAGTTCTGCGCCAATATCGCCGCAGGGCCGCCGATGCTGCCCAGATAAAACCCACCATGCTGCTTGCACGCCTTGGACACCTGCACAACACCCACCAAACCATCACACCACACCGCTCTCTGTCCTGCGTGCTTGTGAGGGCGTTGTAATGTACCTCCTTGCTCCTGTTGCCCTTGGCAAGGGTTATCATAGACCCGCCGGCAGCCATGAATGGCCCCACATAAGAGTCCATCCGGCCAGCAGTGGTCGGGCCAAACGAACCAGACGCATAACCAGCAGGCGTCTTGGCCGGCCCTGCATAGTAGATGGGATGGTTCTTGATGTAGTCGGGCAGCGCTCCCTCTTTCTGCAGCCGCTCGTTGAGTTTGGCGTGGGCGATGTCCCGCGCCACAACGAGGGTGCCCGTCAACGATAGACGCGTCTTGATCGGGTACCTGCCAGCCACCATAAAGCGACGAAAGCAATGAGCCAATGGGTGGCTGATTTTGCGTGTGTTGGGAGGGGAGGGTGGTGTATCTGTCTTTACTTGCTGAGTTGCGCAAGGACTTCCGTCATGGGGCGGTTGAGGTCCACCTGCACCACCTCCCCACCTACATGCACAAATACACACACTTGCAAGTGCGCATTGCGAGAAGACACATGGGTGGATTGCAGACTGACCAGAGCCCAGAGACTGCTCCGTGACGTCAGGGAGATACTGTCCTGGGTTCTCTTCCAATTGCTCAAGGAACACTGACACACACACAAATACACACACAGAGGGAGACAGCGGTGTGTTGGTATCAGCCACGCGTGCAGCCAACCAGAATATTCACTGACCTCCTTCGTCGGTGATCTTGCCGATGGCCTGTCTGTCTGCCGAGCATGACACGCCGATGCCGACTGGGCAGGACGCGCCGTGCCGCGGCAGCCGGATGACCCGCACGTCATGGCAGAAGTACTTGCCGCCGAACTGGGCACCGATGCCCATGTTCTGACATATCTGACATACACACCATCACACACATACGGATGTCGACGGAGGGATGTCTTGGTAAGTCGGTGGGGCGGGTGGGTGGGTGACCTTGTGCACACGCTCTTCCCACTCCAGGTCTCTGAATGCCCGACCGTGCTCATTGCCAGAGGTGGCCAGACCGTCGTAATACCTGATAGACACACAGACAAACAGACACATGGACAAGTGAAATGGACGGATAGCCTCCCATTTGTGTTGACAAAGATCTGCCCATACCTGCAGCTGGCCATCTTGACGGTCTTGAGGGTCATCTCGGCAGACAAACCGCCTGCACACACGCCGAAGTGGCATTTCAGCAGGCAGCCCTGTAGGATGTGTCACATACCGATGACGATGGCCAGGTGGTAGGGCGGGCATGCGGCCGTCCCGATCGTCTTGATCTTCTCCTCCAGAAACATGGCCAAGCTGTCAGGGTTCAACAAGGCCTGCACGCACACAGTCACCACAGCTCGTTCTCTATCTAGCTGTCACCGATCCACCCTTGACTCACTTTGGTTTGCTGGAAAAGGAACGTCTTGTTCGCCGAGCCGCCCCCCTTGGCGATGAAGAGGAAGTTGTAGGCGTTACCTTTGCTGGCGTACAGCTCGATCTGTGCTGGCAGGTTCGTCTTGGTGTTTGCCTCCGTGAACATGTCCTTGGGCGACACCTGAGAGTATCTACCACCACACGCACAGCAGACAGCAATACTTGGATCTCCCTCTCTGCTGCGTCTCTTGTGTGTCGGCGATCGGCGCACCTGAGATTGGACATAGTGTAGGCGTCATAGACGCCTTTGCTGATGTGGGACTCGTCCTCGTCGTCGGTGATGACGCGGGAGCCGCGCTTTCCAATAACGATGGCGGTGCCTGCACCACGCACACACCATACAGACACCTTTGAGAACACCACGAGTCAATCACCACTTCCGTGTCGGTTCTCAAAGGTTGATCTGACCGGTGTCCTGGCAGCCCGGCAGCACTCGCCCAGCAGCGATGTTGGCATTTTTCAAGAGCTCAAGTGCAACAAACCTGAGCACACACACACACACAACCCAAAAAGGCCGATGGAGAGATAGGACTTGATCACTGCTGCAGTCGCCTACCTGTCGTTGTCTGATGATTCTGGGTCCTTGAGTATGTTGGCCAGCTGCTGCAGGTGACCCGGCCGCAGCAGATGAGATATGTCAATCATCCCCTGACGAGTCAACTGAACACGTACAATATACAGCATTCAGCAGACAGACAGACAGACAGACACACAGACAGTCACGCATCAAGAGCAATCCAGCAATCAGTGATTGAACATTCATTCTGCCTCACTCAGCTGACTCACTGACTCACTGACTCACTGACTCACTCACTGCTTCCCTCACTGCTTCACTCACTGCTTCACTCGCGCACCTGTGTGAGCACCCATGGCTGCACATGGAGGTAGCTGTGGCCATCCAGGTTCACCCTCGACACTCCATCGCCCGTCAGCTTCTTGAGCGGCACACTCAAAGGCGTCACCTGCTCAAACACGTCCTGATAAGTGAACGGCGCCGGGCCAGACGCCGCCGCCGCGAAAGCACGGACACACCTGAAGGGCAGAACGGCCCGCACAGATGACCGCAGTGGAGCTGCGTGGCGTAGAAGACTCATTGCGGCTGCAGCTGCCGTGTGAAAGTCGTCTTCCCTTCTTTCGTGCGAGCTGTAAGGGCAGAGATCGCGAGCTCAAAGTGGGGCCCACCTCTCCCCTCAGCCCCCTACCTCTCCTGTCATCCCTCTCGTTTGAGAGGAAGGCATGCTTTGATCTCCCCACTGCGATGTCCATCTTGTCTGCTCTGACAGCCGGTCATGACCATGGATCATGCATCAGACGATTGTTGCACGCATTTCTTTCCATTTCCTTCACCCGCAGGTCTTTTGCCGCTGCTCTGCCACGCGGCCAGCAACTATGGGACGCCCCTCTTCCCTGCCGAATGGATCATGCGACCTCGCTCTTGCTCGGTGCGCAGGGGCTTCTGCATCCCGGAGTGGACTTTTCCATGTCTGTGTGCCGTTGTTGTGCTCTCATGATGCAGTACTATTACATCAACACGGGCGTAATCCACAATTACGCAGATGCGGAGAGCTCCTGCTACAACACCCACACGGGACTCGCGGGCGACCTGGTCGGTCTTTGCCGCTGCCACTGGACCGCTGCCAGTGGACTGCATGTGTTTGTCTGCTTGCCAATGTCATGCAGCTGATTGTGGACGACGCCTACGAAGCCCAATGGCTGGCCGAGCAGATCATTCTGGCGGGCAACGAGGAAGTCAGGTATTGGGTCAAGATGAAACGGGTGAGCCAGCTCTCACCTATGAGGAGACTAGCTGTGTGTGAGTGTTTTCGTCGTGTTTGCCCTCCCCTCCCTCTCTCCCTCCCTCAGAATGGCGCAGATCCCTCGGAGAAACCTGCTTTTCTCCCAGACATAGGAGGGACCAAAGCAGGTCTCTCACACAGACAACAGGAGACGCAACCCAGTGTCCCTCTGTCTGTTGCCGCCCTCCGCATGTGTCAGACCGCCAAGGCTGGTATCCGGCTGGTGATTGGGCGTGGCAAGCGCCGTCTAGGGGCCTGTGGGACCTGACATGGCGGCCTAGAATGCCGTGGGACCACACACAGGATCACGGCATGGTCGAGGTCAGGCACGCGAAGTATGAGGAGCCTTTTCGTTTGGTCTTGAGATCACGCGAGCCTGCCAACAGCAATAGCGCCATCGTGAGCAACAACGGGAGGATGGGAAAGGCCGGGAGGCTTGCTTGCTGACCGATACTGTGTATGTGGCTGCATGCAGTGTGAGAAGAAAATAAGCGGCTGCAGTAAACAAACCAATCGAGCACAAACAAATTAATATGGATCGGCTGCCCTTCTCCTTCCCATGCAGCCGATTTCCCAACGGTTATGATTACAACCGCTACGAGCTTTCCGGACCCCAACTCTCGAGAGATCGTTGTAACTCTGACCTTCTCGGATGACATCACCGACCTTACATTTCACAACTTCTCCGACTTGACAAGCTGGCAAACTGTCAGTGAAGGGAGCGCGGCGATCGAGGGCATCAACAAAACGAGCAGCAACGTGATAGTGGAGAGGCTGTGGGGTGTGCAGCCAGGATGGATCACGCTCCACGTGCCCAGCAATGCTTTCAACCGGACGAGCGACGGGCTGCCTAACACTCCATCGAACAATCTCACAATCTACGGGGGTCTCGACGGCACGAGACACATGAATGTCTGTGTACTGGCTGTCTCTCTGTGTGCGTCTGCCAGGCTGCGACACTACATGGGGCTGGAAGAAGTCGGCGGCTGAAGATGCCATCGACAGTGCCTACTCTTGGTGGCAGTGCGGTCGGCAGTGTCAGGACAATCCCAGCTGTGAAATGTTTGTCTACGACGCCCAATCGGGCATCCCGGGCGGCGGCGGCGGGTCTCCATCCCCCTGTCGCCTTTACTATGACAGAGACCCTGCCGATACGCCTGATCCGAATAAAATAACCAGCTACAGGGCATGCGGCATCAAAACAGGTCGGCAGCCGGAGAAAGACCAGAGAGACATATTTCTCGCGGCTTCGCCTCTGATCTGCAGATACGAAACCGCCCAAGATATTCTTTGTGAGGAAGGTCATTGCCACTGGGAAGCGGAGGGAAGGCGGCCTTGTTAGGTACAACTACGAGAACCCCAACATCATCGACCTCCACACGGAGATACACTTCAGCGAAGCCGTCAGGAATCTCGATGTCTCGGATGTCACGCTCTCGTGGGCAAATGTGTCGGGCAGCGGCACGGCGAGCTTACCGTCGCTTCTGCAACTTGACGAGGTGCCGATTACCAAGCCTACTACATGGGACATACCACTGACACCCGCCCCGACAAAGAAATACAATCTGACGGTGGGCGTATCCCACACAGGAGGCACACGCGGATCTCTGGTGCTCTACTATGTGTGTGTGTGGACCGAACAGCTTCAGCTTCACAATTTGCTGTGGTTCACCGAGGGCAATTTCACCTTTCATCTCGACGGCTCTTCGGATATCGTCGATCTCTCGGGCAACCCCATCAACCCCTCTTACGAGCCCATCACGTTCATGCTGAGACCCCGCCGTGAGACACGGGACCTGCACACAGAAGAGGGACAGAAAAGACCAGGAAGAGCCTCAATCATTGTCTGCAATGGAACAATTGCAGCGTGTGACACAATGGAGAGATTAACGGACGTGATGCTGTGGCAAGGGGACCTGATCGGCCTGCAGTGGAAGGGCTTTACGTTTGACTCTTGCGCCACCAAATGCCGGATGACGCCAGGTGAGGAAAGCGTTTTCTTGAGGGATACACCGTTCTTTCTGCTGTCTTTTTGCTAGAGTGTGAGGCCTTTACATTCGACAAGGTGCATTCCGCCTGTTACCTTAAATGGGGCCCACTGGAGGTAGCAACCCAGATGCACACACACACACACACACACACACAGAGAGAGAGAGAGAGAGACTTTCCTGTCTTTCGGGTGACAGTGGGGTCCTGACGGATGGGAGTACAGAGGGTCGGAACCTGACTATGACTCGGCATGGTTCGACTGCTCATGCTCTGCCAACTGCTTTGGTACACACAACTAGGCACACAGACGGGATGGTTGCTATGCCTCTTTGAGCTGCTTGCAATTCTGTACCGGTCAGAGGTGCCGTTGCCCGAGGTCTGCGGCGACTTTGTTCTGGTTGGCGCCGAGACATGTGACGGTACAGCCTTGCACTCATTCAAAGCCTTGACACCAGCAAGCGTTCGTCTTCTCTCCTTCCTTCCCTCGTCCAGACGGCAATGACGTGGGAGGTGACGGGTGCTCGGCTACATGCCAGACGGAACCAGGATACACATGCCCTACAACCGGCGGGAGCTGCGCACCAGTTTGTGGTGACGGCCTCTTGAAGGGCGGCGAAGAGGTACATAATGTACCTGTACGCGCACAAGCACCGATGGTGAGCTGGCTGGCTGTATATACGTTCTCAGTGCGATGATGGGAACACGGCAGCGGGAGACGGGTGCTCAGATACGTGCCAGGTTGAATCAGGATGGACATGCCCTACACCAGGATCGCCATGCTGTCAGCACAACGCCTGCTTTTTCGTGAGGTCTCTCCACTTCTCTCTCTTGTCCCTTTGTCCTCGCCTCTCTCAGTTCTCATAACAACATCGCCCCCGCTGACGACTGCTTCCCCGCCAGCCGCGACCACATTACCACCAACCCCACCAGAGACCACCGCCCCTGCTGTCCCACCAGAGACCACCACCGCCCCTGCTGTTCCACCAGAGACCACCGCCCCGTCGCCATCAGCCATTCCGCCGGAGGGCACAACACCGCCAACGGCGCCCACAAGTGAGCAAGTGGGAAAGGCGCTCGAAAGACACTCGGATGGTCATCGATTGGCCGGTTGGCGCTCCCATGAATGTATGTGTCCTTTAGCTATTGTGCCTCCGGTTGTCGTCCTGCCAGAGGAGGGCATAGAAGGCATCACTGACGACTTAGATACTCTCAAGGTGACTTCGTCCAACCAAGACCAACAGCAGACAACTGCATCTGTGACCTGCCTTGTCCCCCGTGTCTGTGTGTTGCTCCCGATCTCGCTGCAGAACCCGGATGCAGTTGACGTGTCGGATGCAGAGGACACCATCGGTGGTCTGCTGGGTGAAGAGGGCGAGGAACCACCCACCCCACCGCCCGTGGAGTCTCCCGACGACTTCAGCTCTCGGCTCCTCAAAGCCATCAACGTCGCCAAAGTGGCCCGCAAAGAGGACATGGCCGGGCTGGCAAAGCCCAATTCCACACAGGAAGAGACCAAGGCACAAAGGAAAGCCGTCGTGAAGGCACTCATGCGCAACCTGCAAAAGGTATATGACGACACGCAGACAGGCAAGGACAGCACCCAATTTCTCTGTCCTGTGTGCGGCTGGTCAGGCTGCTGCTGATCGGTCGACAGCCCTGGTTGGTGTGTCGAGCAGCCCAGCTGAGGTTCTCTTGTCAGCTGTCACATTGGCCACTACCGTCGAGGCAGCCGATGAGACAGGTACGGCGCGTAGAAAGGCCACAAGATCACCTGACCGAGGTCTGCATCTCTTGTATCTGCAGAGAACGACGACATGGACACGGCCGAGGCGGGCGTCGCGACGTTCAAGGCTCTCGCCGCCGTCTCGGCGGACACCATCTCCCAGCCCGACGACACTCTCGCGGAAGCCGTCAAGGAGCTGCAGGGCCTTCAGTATTATCTCGATGGGGCGGCCGGTCTCCTCAGACAGCTCAACAGGACAGCGAAGGCGGATCGACACCTTCGGCGGCTGACACCGGCTGCCAACGAGAGCTATCACATGTTGTCATCTGATATCATCGGCACCACAGCCCAGCTCGCCGACAGCCTCGCCACACGCGCAGCCGGACATCCCGACGGCACGGCCGAAGTGGCGGGCGCCAAGACGCGGCTGAAGGTTGCCCGCACAGACACCGCCAGTGGGGCCACACTCACGATCAAGGACACCAGTGTGGCCGTGAACATGCCTTCATTGCCATCCATCCCGCCGGCCGTGTGCGCCGATGGTGGCGGGCTGCGCGAGAGTGTGCAGATGACCTTCTGGGCCGACGACCCATATGCTTATGCCGCTGACGAGGAGGCGCCAATGGCCGACCTAACGGCCAGCGACACTCTTACGAATGCAGCGCAGGGCACTTTGGCTGTGTCGGCCCGTCAGTGCGGCAGCGACCTGCAGCTGATGGCGGGTGAAGGTCAGCAAGAGCCCTTCCGGCTGTTCATTCCTCGGCCGTCAGCTGACAGCGTGCCGGCGGCTGGCAATGTCTCTGTCAATGGGACGGAGAGGGCGTACGATGTGCATGTGGTGTGCGGCTTCTGGAACGCATCGACGCACCAGTGGGACACACAAGGTCAGCCATGCACATGTGTGGCGCACGGATCAATCTGTCGACCAATGAATTAACGGGTGTGTGTGTGTGTAGGCTGTCATGTGAATTTGGCTCTGTCGAATGGGACGACCTCCTGCTGCGAGTGCACTCACCTCACAGAATTCTCTTCACTCTTCAGGTCAGCTGACGTGACACACCCAGGCCATGATGCGTGTGTGAGTGCTTGCTCTGTGTCTGCAGGAGTGTGATCGTTGACAGCCACATTGCAGGGGTGGTGGGCGGTGCGGGTGATTCCCTCGCCAGGATGGCCGACATCACCGCTTGGACACAAAACATAGCCGCCTTCTTCGTCTCAATTATGATCGCCATACACTCCACTTGTCTGCTGCTGTCTCTCTACTTCGACTGCAAAAACCCGTAAGCACACAAAACACGAGACACAACCGTCTTTGCTGTTCCTTGTCGGTTCGTCAGTATCACTGATCAACTCTTACTCGACATATGGTCAGTCATGACACAGCGTACCGCATCATCGTGTTGTGAATTCGTTATCCACCCGTGCGGTTGGTTGTGTCATCAATCAGGATGACCGATCCACTGCTCGAGTGGGGACACCTATACATGTTTATTGCGTATATCCACCAATGTTCTCACTCCTGTTTGTTGTCTGCTGTGTGCCGGTTGTCGCGGCAGCACCCGACACAAAGCCGTAAGCACACTCATGCCTATACCAACGGCAGGAGACAGACTCACATTCCCTTTGGTCTTGCTCTGCATGCGCAGCGGTCGAGATTGCAGCGCAGCATCAATGGTTGTGTCGGCCGTCGGTGCTATCACCCCTGGTGGTGCGACTTCCTCGTCTGCCGCATCTTCGGCGGCATCTACATGCACTGCCGAAACAGAGAACCCACACTCCATCTCCAGGAACTTCGCACACTCAGGTGAATGCCACCTACTGGCCTGGACAGCACCTGGCCTTCTGTCGGCTTTTCTCTACCTTCTCGTGCAGGGCGGTGCGGAAGGATCTGCTGCAGGAGGATGTAGAAGGGCATGTGCTCACTGTGCCGGGTGGGGAAGGTGGGTCACGTTTCGGCAGCTTCAGCAGCATACACGGTGACGAGCACCAGTCCAAGCCGCCGTCCGTCGTCAGTGGCATGCCCATGCCCAGGAAAAGGGCCTCCATCCAATCATGGTCACACAGACACATGGGCACACAGGCAGACAGACAGGGATACAGTTTGGTGTCCCACACTGCAGGTTCACTCGTCAGTTCACGGGCACGGCTGATTGGTCGTCAGTTAGCGACAAGCTCGACACACGCGAGAAGCTTCGCAGCAAAGTCCACGAAAGCATCCCTTCACTGCCGGACTTCATCAAGCACACATGGACAAGGCGTCAGCCTAAAAAGCTCAAGCCTGCCGAGACAGCCGACGAGAGCGTCATCTTCGACGGCGTGCAGTGGACCGCCCCGGCCGCCCCACCCAACTGGTCCGTCATGGCGGGGGATGACTCCATCAAGTCGCCCACTGCGGGCGACGTCCCCAGCTGCGCGCTCCGTGCCAGCAGCGCGACGTCCCCGAGTGAGGGATCGTCTCCCCGAAAGAGGATCCTCCAGCCGTACACCGCCGGGGGGTCCATGTCCGATGAGGAGGACCGAAGCCCACTGGCCGACAACCAGCGCATCGACGAGCGAGAAATGTCGTTCCAGCCGTCCACTGCTGAGGCCACGACGGACGCCCGTGAGCTGCGGGCCATCCGGCAGATGCTGGGCGAGGGAGGAAGGCGGGGCTCCGCGGGCGCCGTGCTGATGAACATCTTTTCTCTTGGAGGCGGGAAAATGCAAGAAGAGGCCAAGGACGTCAGCCTCATCAAGTCAGCGTCAAACAAACAAACAAACAAACATACAAAGGCACCGCAACCAGAGACATGACATGTCGGTGTGTCTGCATTGTCATCGCAGGAGTGGCGTGCTGAAAGAAGCGCTTCGGAAGCGGCTGTTGCTGGAGCTGCAGAGGCAGCAGGCCGCCGCTGTGCTAATACAGCGCCATTGGCGTGCCCTGATCGAGAAACAGCTGGAAGACGTCAAAGCTGTTGAGGAAGGCATCCTTACTCCAACCGTCATCGGCCGCCCCCAGGCCGTCAAGGCACTCGACCAGGACCAGAGTGCAGATGCAGACAGTCATGAAGGCCAAAGGCCGGCAGGCGACCAGCCTGAGGCTGACAATGGAGAGGAAGAGGCATCCTTCCTGGCGGCCAGTGTGGCAGCTGTCGACGCCGCCTTCTTTTCCAGCGGCCAGGAGGCAGAAAGGAAGCGCCGTGACTCGACCAAGTCAGTGACGATTGCCATCACGTCATCCGGTGGCGTTGGCAAGGGCATGCGGCGGCGCAGCATGTCGGCCCAGGCCGCAAGGCGCAGGAGCGTGACAGAGCTGTGGGGCGACCTAAATGCGGAGGTTGACCTGATGGTGACCCGAACACTGCGTCGTGTCGAGTATGTGGAGTGGGGCGCTCCAAAGATGTTCCGTGAGGTTTGCCGTCGAGACCACCCCCTTCTCAAGGTGAAAGACACACACACAGACGCATGAAAGGCAGCGCGCAGGCACTCGCTGTGCGGTTGGTTGGGTGTGGCTCGTCACAGCTCTTCATATTGAACCCCACGTACTGAGGACGACAGACATTGAGGGAGACACACAAAAGAGTGGGTCTCATTTTGTCTGATGAGTCAGGTTCACCGCCGTGCAACGGACCCTCTTCTTTGGAAGCATCAGTCTGGGCATCTTGACGATGTGCGCCGTCTTCTTCGACCAGGGCCGATACAGCCGTCGGCAGGACGACAGCACAGTGCTGATGGCCTGGCAGTCGGGCGGCGTGCGGTGGCTCCTCACACTCCGACAGATCGCCGTGCTCATCTGGTCGATCCTGCTTTCTAAGCCCATTCCGCTGACGCTGCTCTTCCTCTTCCGCAAAGCAGTCCCCCACATCATCCCGTCGGCCACACGCACAGAGGACATTAGATATGGCGGAGCAGACACCGCCTGGTGGATGGGTCGGAAGGACAAGAGGATCGACGTGCAGAAACTGTCATCCATACATACCAAGCGACAGACCGTCGTGGCCCACAGGCGCATCGCCGACCTGGCTGGACGACACTCAGGTAGAGGACACAAAGACATCCACAGACTCAGACAAAGACAAGCCACCGATTGCGTGTCTCCCTCCATGTTTTTGTGACCTTAAGGTCATTTTTCCTTAAAGCAAAAGCTCGCCGTGCTGGCCCGTTGGCGGCTGAAGGAGCGGATCGGCATCGCCATTGGCCTTCTCTATTGGTTCGCATGCTGCTCCTTCCTGCTGCTCTTTTCCTTCTCGTCGCAGCTGGCGGAGATTGGGCCAGAAAGCCAGCCGACCTACGTGATCTATCAGGACTTCGTGATGGTGTGCTCGGTCGAATTCCTAAACAGCTTCATCCTCCAGGTAGGCCCGCTGCAGCCCTGGGGAAATGTAATCTGAAGCCGATACTCGTCCATCTGCTATTTTGAAATATTGCAGCCGATAATCTTCTTCTGCCTGCTGTCTCTCCTGCTGATGGCCGTGCTGCGGGTGGCGTCCTTCGACTGGGTCGTTTGGATGATGCCCCACTGGTGAGTGATGGCATCCCTTTTTGACATACATACGTCCGCCAAGCTGTGGTGAGTGTGTGTCTGCGTGATGTGTGTCTGCTTACCACCCAGGTTTGACTTCACCTTCTCGGTCAGTCGGGCAGCTTATCTGATCTGATCGGCACACTGGCCATCACGTGCTTATGAATGTTTGTGTCTTTGTCCATGTCTATCCATGCAGGGTGCCCAGTCGCTGCACGAACTGACGGTTCAACTGCAGGCCATCAGCGATACACACGAACTCACACGAGGCATGGTGGGCTTCGCCGGCCTTAATGTCGACTCGGTTGGCATGGTCCAGGACGTCTTCTCTTTCTGACCCCACACCCCCCCCTTGGCCCCCGGCAGTTCGTTTGTGTGCGAGACAGGGTGTCGTAGGCGGATGTGTCGATTGAGAATTGGTGCAAATGTGGACGTCATTATCTGTTTTCTGGAGCTTTGTGTCAGAGAGACATGGGCTGTGTTTGTTTGTTGCAATGTTCAGACACTGTGTCAATTCATTTTCTGAACAGGCGGTGTGTCCTTCCTCATCTATCTGTCTGTCTGTGCCATTCGGTCAGTCAGTCAGTCATCGTATGTTGCGTAGGCCGCCACTTTTCTCCTCTTGGCCTTCACCACCGGGGCGGCAATCGTGGGCTGCGGTGGGCCGGCAGCAGGCGCAGACACTGCCACGGCCGCCGTTGCTGCTGGCTGTGGACCGCCAGGAATCGGAGTGGCCGCCTCAGCTGGTGGTGCTGGTGGTGGCGGGGGCAGTTGGCCGAGTGCTTGTTTGGCTGCTTCGACTTCCTTCTCGCTGAAAAGCTTCACAGGCACCGACACTCTGACAGAGACACAGGTTGATTGAGTGAGAGAGAGGTGCAGCCGAATGTGAGTGGGTGTGAGTTGTGTGTACCTGACTCTCCACGTGTGGCTGTCGAGTCTTTCCCATTCGATCTCAGGAATGACGCGTCGCAGCGAAGGGAGCCTGCGCATGACACGACCAAAGGATATGGCTGGTTATGTGTGTGCGCTTGTACGGTTTTCTCTCTCACTCGTGGATGAGTTTGAGGTGCCAGTCGTATGGGCCGGCAGTCACCTTGAGCACTGGGTCATCGATTATCTCAGCGCTGATGTCCTGCCAGTGACAGCACGACACACAGAAGAGCCCGTGAGAGAGTGAGTGAGTGAGTGGCTCGCTTGGCTGACATTGGCAATCACTGACGTGGGCTCGTTGGCAAAGTAAACTGCACACACACACACAGAGGAGGTGTGTGTGTCTCTGTCTGATTGTGTGTCATTCAGACTGACTGACTTGTGTAGGTGTCCTGCCCACTCTCCGACTCGACATACGCGTGGCTGTTCACTGACACACACACACACACACACACAAACAGACAGATCACATCGACACACTCGCCTGGTGTCTCTCTCTGTCTCTCTCTGCTCAGGAATGATGCGCACTTGCGGACTCAGCGGTGTCGATGGGCGGCGGTCTCTTGTGTGCGTGGCGGTGGCGGAGCAGACCGCCGTGAGCCACGTGGGGTGCCAGGCACACACACAGCACCAGCAGCACCGACACCATCACCTCACACCTCATCGATCGTGCCGTCGACCGGTTGGCTGATTGATTGGCCGATTGACTGTGTGTTTGTTCGTTAGTTCGTTGTGATTGTGTGTCTGTGTGTATTGGTACATACCGGTTGAGACGATCGCGTCGATCGGCCATGAATGGAGAGAGGGAGAGAGGAAGGAGCGGCAACAAATTGACAGACAGTGCACCAGTGTCCGCCGAATGTGATAGAGCTGTGTGTGTGGTGACGCGAAAGAGAGTGACATTCGCTGTGTCATCCATCGATTCAAAGGATGCTCGTGCACGGAGGCAGTCCGGCCACTCACCCAGTCGGTTCATCAGGTGTACGTCCATCAAAACAGACAGAGAGATAAACGCACCACATCGACACACGAGGAATTAAGAAGGCACGGATTCCAACACACCACAGACAAAAAAAAAAGAAAGGCAGCACAGACAGGCCGGTCGGTCCATCTCGCGGCCTCCCCTCTGCCGCCCCACTGCATGTCAGCTACTTCCGATGTCTTCGTGTGTGCCGCCGCCCGACTCCACTCAGTCACGTCGACGCCACCCCGCCAGCTGCAGTCATGGAGGAAGAGACAGTCTCACTCTTGTGTTGGGCTCATGTGGTGTTCTCGAGCGTGTGTACCTGTGTTGATGGTCTCGTTGACCTCTGGGAGTACTGTGATGGTGTCGCTAATCTTCTCGTGCGCAATGGCCACTGCCCGCGGGAAGGCAGCAGGGCCACTGACGCCCTGCTGGGGCGCCTCGCTGGTCCAGAGGTCGATGTGTGCCGACCCATCAGACCACTTGGCCATCCTGATGTATGCCGCAAAGTCGTCGCCCTCCTCGGCGCCATGCAAGATGACGAGTCGGTATGAGGGGCCGATAGTGTTGTAGTGGTAGTCGATGGTGCGGCAGCCGTCCCACAGGGGCGGCTCCTGGGCCATCAGGGCACAAATGTGGTCACACCCAGCAGAGGACGGACTGTAGGACCGATCCGACACCAAACGCGACGACAGCAATGCCAACCTGAAAGAGCAGGGAGCGGAAAGGCAGACAACACGACACATTGCTGTGGTGTGTTCTCTCATTTCGATCGCTGGATACCTCATGATGGTCAGTCCTCTGAAGCTGCCATACTCACCAAAGCCGTCTGCAGACACAAACACACAGCGGTAGACACCATCCATGCCAAGTCGGCTCTCCTGTGGTGCTTTGCCCTCCCATCTCTCACATTGGCACGGGGGATCGGCGGCATCGCTGTGCACCGTCAGCACACTCCCGCCCAGCGTGTCCGTCCCGTCGGCTGTGCGCATAAGCAGCATGCTGTAGCGGCCCAGTCGGTGGCTGTAGAGGGCGTATTGTCTCATGCTGGGCGGGCGGCTGTCGATGACGGCCTTGCTGCCCACGTGCTGGAGGTCGTCACCCGTCAGCTCGATGGGCAGCTGCTGCACTCGTCCACAGCTCTTGGCCATCCGCAGCACCGGCACGCTGCGCGCCAGTCGCCCCCCGTCACCATCAGGTAGTGGAGGCGGATCAGCCGCATTCGGCGCACCAGACGACGGACGCTGGTCGACTGGCACAGAGGGCTATAGCCGATGACGCCAGTGACTCCGTCGCGGCGGATGATGCTGTCGATGTCGGCGACCAGGGCGGCCTCGACTGCGCTGCCGACCGCATCGGATGTGCGGCAGAGGGCAGTGGAGTCGTTGGGCGTGAGCCAGGGCAGGAATATGTCGCGGAGGACGTCGGTGGGCAGGGACAGACCGGGCAAGAAGGGCGGCACTGCAACACTTGACAACTCGGGCACACCGGATGTGCTGTCTGCAACAATATCCTGCACACATCACGCCATAGTTTTGGCCGTCATGATGGCTTCACCGTGCAGCGGTCGTACCTTCTTGAGTGTGTCAGTGGTCTCTGTGGTGGTCTTCTTAGCGGCGCGGGGGACGTGTGCGAAGTTCTTGGAGTGGCCCTCCAGCTGATAGATACACGCACACATACACACAGGCAGGAGAAGACACACACACTCATCCACCAGTCAAAGGATCGACAGTAGATGTGTGTGTGCATACCAGTGCCGCGCCGTTGAGTCGTTTGAGTCCCTTCTGCAGGCTGACCAGCGCACCGGAGATCTCTGACGCTGCCCCTTCCACCATCGGCAGGCGCCTCTCACCAACAGACCCCTGCACACAGCCACAGACCACACAATGTCACACGGAGGGAGGTCAGCTATGCGCTGACTGACGACCTTCGCAGTGAGGTAATCGATAGTGTCAGAGATGCCCATCTTCTTGACAAACTGACACACACCACACACACACATAAGTCAGCCGCCCTCTCCCTCCCTCTGTGCTGTCCTCTCACCTTTGAGTCCAACACGGCTAACTGTGTTTTGACTTTCGACAGCTGCGCCAACACATCAGAGGACAGCTGCAAGGCAGGCAGGCACACACACAACATCACTATGAGCACACCGACACCCCGTGGCGCTCTCTGGTCTGTGTGGCGCTGTGATGGCTTGATGGCTTGATGGCTCACCGGCAGCCTGTCACCCTGTGTCGCGCTGTGATTGATGTCATTGACTCCAACCACACCGGTACCTCCACCACCACCTGGCCAACACAGACCACACCACACACAGGTGAGCCCTCCCCTCCCTCTCCCACTCAGTGAGTCAGCCCACCTGCAGCAGCTGCTCCTGCTGCCGATGTGCCGGACATACCGCCGCCCGCTGTCCTCACGGCAGCCCACACGACGCCTGAAGACCACCACACACACACACAAGTGTGTGTCGTTCGGACGTCTGTCGTCTGTCTGTCTGTCTGTCATCTGTCGTGCTGTGCTTACCGGTGAGAGGGCAGCGACTGTCCGACGACCAAATCAGTCAGCCGATGAGTCAATGAGCCAATCAGTCACACAAAGCCGCACGGCACTCCGCCAGACGGGAGGGCTCACGACGAACACAGCAGAGGTGCGATGAGATCTCTGTCGTGCGGGACAGAGAGGGAGCCCTCTGAGCTGATGGCCTGTCTGCCCTACGCCAAAGGCCGCAGAATGCTGAGCCTCCCCTCTTTGAGCTCGCGTGATCGAACCGATTGGAGAGGAGAGGCTGACGGCGTCGCTTTTGAGCACAGCCACTGGCGTGCCGTTTGTGTGAGAGGACAGACCTCCGGTTGGCGGAAACTGTCGTGTTCCAGTGAGTGCAGATCTCGTCCTATCGCAACGATGGCATCGTCGAGCTCTTCCGGGCAAATGACTCATCCACAGGTGAGAGCAGAACAGCACACGACCACACAGCACAGACGCGCACGGCTGATCTGTCCCGCAGGCGGCTGTCGGTGCATCGCCGTGTCGGTATCGTGTGGGCAGCCGCGTGCTGATGGTGTCGGAGCGGAGAAGGGACGACAAGTTCCAGTGGGTGGAGGCCGAGGTGTCCAAGCTGGAGCCGACTGCGGGCGGGACGAGGGTGTGCATCCGGGAGGTGGGTGGGATGGATGAGGAGTTTGAGCCGGTCGTGATGCCCCACACGACGGCAGCATTCCAACGACTCCCTGACATATACGCGGTTGGCGCACACACAGGACAGGCACGGAGAGAGGCGGTAGAATGGGAGCTGTGTGGCATCAAGGTGCACACACATCCTTGTGTGCGTGAGACTGTGTGTGTTATCAGGGAGGCGATGGGTTCCATTACTTCGACCACGTTCCCCCGACGCATCACCACGTCCCTGGGCAGAGCGTGGATGAGGTAGGCCTATCATGCAGAGAAGCGGAAGTGACATCTGACAGATAATGTGCCATTTTTTCCCTGTGTGTTCAGCTTGATGCGGAGCGTTTCTGTGTGGACCTGAGCATCAAGCAGCGCGATGCCGAGGACCCGATGTCCTTCCTGCTCCTGCCGCCCTCCTTTATGCCCCCCCTCCCCACCGACATCATCGCCACCACACTCCTCCCCCTGTGTGGCGGGCGGGAGACCCTCGCACTCAAGCTCAAGAGCACCCTCTGCTGCACATCCACTGGAGTCGGCGACAACATCGGCTCCGCTGCGGTGTCGGCCATCGACAGCATCATCGAGAAGAACGGCCTCACGGGAGCCATCGGCTACGCCCCGCTGCGTCGGCACCTTCCGCCCCAGTTGGGGCAGTCGATGGATGTGTGTCGGCCATTCCAATTGATCCGCTTGCACTACCTGATGGTGACGGGGGGCGACTGGCAGGGCAGCGTGCCGGTGCTGCGATTCGCCAAGAGCTGTGGACGAGTGCAGCAGCTGCCCATCGAGCTGACGGGTGACGACCTGCGGCACGTGGGCAGCAAGGCCGTCATCGACAGCCGGCCGCCCAGCATGAGGCAATACGCCCTCTACAGCAACCGACTGGGCAATTGGATGCACGACATGCTGCTGACGCGCACAGCTGACAGGACGGACAGGGTGGACGGGCGTGAGGTGACGGTGCACACACGGCAGACGGTGCCGGCCGAGTATGCGGATCGATTCGATCCAGACGATCCCCCGTGCCGAGGTGAGAGATGGGAGGGCAAACCACCACAGGAGAGCCAACTTGGCATGGATGGTGTCTGCCGCTGTGTGTCTGTGTGTCTGCAGACGGTGGTTTCGAGTATGGAAGCTTTAGAGGACGGATCATCAACAGGTATGCAGCGACTGACATGAGAGAACACACCACAGCAATGTGTCGTGTTCGTTGCCTTTTCGCTTCCTGCTATTTCAGTTTGGCATTGTCGTCGTCGTCGTCGTGTTATGTGTCGGGTCAGTCCTACAGTCCGCCCTCTGCTGGGTGTGACAGCATCGGTGCCCTGATGGCCCAGGAGCCGCCCCTGTGGGACGGCTGCCGCACCATCGACTACAACGCGCCTCATCGCGATTCGTCATACTGTGTGGCGACAGGGAGGGTGACGACTTCGCGGCATACATCCAGATGCACAAGTGGCCTAGTGAGTGGGCACACATCTCCCTCTACACCAGCGAGGAGCGCCGGCAGGGCGACAGGGGCCCTGCTGCCAGCCCCCGGACAGTCGACATCGCCCACAACAAGATGGACCGCCCCTCCCTGGCGCTGCTGCCGGCCATCTGACGGAGGTCGGATGACACGACGGGGGAGGAGGGTATCGGTGCAATCTTGGTGTATGTCTGCTCTCCCCTCCCTCTCCTTGTTTTCTGTGCGTCAGGCACCACACCATCTGTCTGTGCTGAGAGGCGTCGCGAGCCGGCTGTTCGACGTGGGGGCGGTCGCTGTCTGTCGACCGACTGGAAGGGTAGTGGGGGTGGCGAGCTGAGTTGGCGATGGGTTGACAGATGGATCAGTACAGACTTTGATGGATGGATTGATAGCTGATGCGTGTGTGCTGTTTTTCAATTCTCAACTGACCCTTACAGTTTTACCGCAGGGATGGTTCACGCCAATGGCAGTCCACCCGCTGTCCATCCACTGGCAGCCAACCAATAATATGCACACCACATCGCACCACCGCACGCAGCTGCGTCCGTCGCTCGCCCCCCTCCCACTCACTGGTCTGTCACTCATTTATTTCGTCACGGAGAGCACCACCGAGCAAGCGCTCTGCGGCCGGAGGGTCACGTGCAGCGGCAGGGCGTAAGACGGCGGAGGCGACGTCGCCTTGAGCAGATCCCCTACCGGCGAGAAGGCCGGAAAGGGCCGGACATCCTGATTGATGACACACACCACCGACAGACAACCATTCCTTGCTCATGTCTGTCTGTCTGTCTATCGTGGTGTCTTCGCCCTCCTCGCTCACTCACGCACTTTGAACATTTCGCAGGTTGCGTTGACGGGGCACCTGTCCCACAGGTGCCACAGCTCCTGGCTCCTCTTCTCGCCCTCGCCACCAGCACCAGGCCCACCCCCACTGCCCTTCGCCCCCACAAGCTCCTCCTCATTCATATGCCGTCCAGTGGTGGCCTCAACGGCATTGCGCCCCAGCACCCACCACGGCCTGGGAAAGCTCACCCACCGCTCCCCCAGACGCACGTCGCAGCGGCCGGCGGGGAAGGAGCGCACCTGATCGATCTTGGCCGTGAATGTCTCCTTGAGCACCCAGCCACCTGCCGGGATGATGGCGAGAGACGCCTGGATGGGGTCCTTGGCGTGTGTCTTGGCGTAGGTGAGGGAGAGGGTGAGGGTGCGGGGGATGGAGGGGGAGATGAAGGCCACCCCGTACAGCCCTCTATCTGCGTCGACGCCGTGTGGGAGGGGGAGTATGTGTGTCTTGATGGGGGGCAGGTGGCCGATCATCGAGTGCAGGGCGTCCTGAGCCATGGTCGACTCGCACTGCCTGTCCACACAGACAGAGAACACAGACAACAGAATGTGTGTGTGTGTGTGTGTGGATGGATGGATGGGCTTGCAGGGTCCATTTGTGTGTACTTGTTGACGAGGCCGTAGCACTGTCTGCCGAAGCTGTTGAGCGTCCAGTAGCCCACAGGCGTCACGCCATAACTCAGCATGGACACTAAGTACCTGACCACAGGACACACACACACACAGCAGCCAGCAAAACGAATGAGACACATGTCTCACTGCAGACAGAAAGGCGCTTTCTGTCGTGCGTACGTCATGAGCCTGACGCCGTACTCGGCGTGCAGTGTGGAGACGTCCTTGCTGGCGTACTCGAGGCTGTATTTGCCCTTGTAGCAGCTGTCAGGCACCTCCGGGTACTGAACAAACAAACGAAGCAAGGAAGGAACGATCTGTCACCGTGCAGGCAGGCAGGCGTCTCATTCCTCCAGCAGTAAACCCGACCTTCTTGCCGGCGATGATATTTGTCTTGACCCCCCACTCTGTCGCCACAATCCCCATCGGCTGCTTCACCTCACTGTCCCCCCACCTGCAGCGCACACAAGAGGCGTCCACACGGCCCGGCATGGCGTGTAGCGACGACTGCTGGTCGGCGTACTTGGTGTGGATGAGGTATTCTATGGCTTTGGGCAGGAACGACGCCACTGCTGCCTGGTACCAGGGACCAAATTGAGGGCAGAATGAATCCTCCCTGCACCATCCATCCACAAGGACATTGCCATTTTGCCATGGTGCCATGGTGCCATGGTGGGAAGAGTACCAGAAGTGGAAGCTCCAGTGGTCCAGAGCCTGAAGCGGATGGATTGACGGGACACGATCGTGCTGCTAGTCAGTCATCGAAATCGGTCGGTCTTTTCACTCACCGCGAGCGCTTCGGCGTCCTGGACTGTCCAATAGAGGTACCGCAGACACGTGCACAGACCCACACACGATGGACCCAACAGACCTGCATTCCCATTCATTCATCTCTTTACCTCTTTCTCTCTCTCTCTCTGTGCGTGTGAGTCTATGTGCCGACCAGTGGTGATGTTGAGTGTGTCGAGGCTCGATCTGAGTGTTTTGAGCAGGTCGGGATAAGAGGTGTCGCGGATCTTCGGGCCCACATCTGATGAATGGATGAATGGATGGATGGATGAATGGATGGACGCAAGAACACACAACGCCAGGATGGCTGATTTGGCTCTTTTTGCGTACATGATCCGTGTTGTTCTCCGAAGTCCGGCTCGTTAATCAGCTCCAGATACTCCGGTGCACGACCTAGCGACTGGCGCCAGAGCACACGCACATACAGAGGCGGGCAAGATGGATCGTGGTGGATGGATGGAGGGATGAGTGCCGGTGGTCCATCGTATCACGCACCTTTTGGATGTACTGGAGGGTGCAGGCCGTCACCTTGCTAAAGTCGTCAAACCGATCGGGACTGCACCTCAGACACACACACACATCGATCGATCCTCCTCATTGGGCTCTCTGTGTGTATGTGCCATGGAAGTGTGTGACTTTACGTGAGGTTCCACTTGATGGATGCCGGAGGGATCATGGAGACTTGACCAACCACCTTCAGCCCACCCTGCCACGCACTCGTCAACGCCGTGAAGGCAGCCTACGCACACAAAAGGAGAGAGAAGCGGAGCGGATGCCTTCAATCTTTCCTTGCGTTCGCCTTTCTGACCTTTTTGCCTTTCCATCTTTCCAGCCGGTTCCTCACCCACTTGCAGACGGCGTCATAGGATGCGTCGATTGGGATGGGGTAGCTCTTGCTCTCATAGGGGCTCGGAGCCACCACTATCCTCGTGTACCTGCACACGCGCACAGACACAGACAGGCCACCACCGATGGGCCATGATGGCTTGCCACGGACGACACTTCTATACTTGAAGGTCGAGCTGAAGTTCTTCTGCACTGCCGCCATGGCCTGCGCGGCGCTGCAGCCTTTCGGCAACGCCTCCGTCGAAAGGAACCCCCCAAACTCCATCTCCTTGAGCCCTTCCAAGTGGCTCATGTCCATCACCGCAGCCACGGGCACCTGCCACGGCGACGCGTAGAAGGTCACCGCATTGCACACGCCTATGCTGCTCTCAGGGGCCGATGCGCCGGCAGGGCCGACGGAGAGATAGCAGAAGCCCTCGATGAGGTACGGCAGCGCCAGCCAGACGGCCCACCACCCTCCTCCCGCAAGGCAGACGAACACACACAGCTTCCAGAGGAGCAAGAGTCGGGTGCAGGGGTGGTGACGACGCTCGGAGACCGCCCTGTGTGTTGAGATGAGGGTAGTCTTGTCATCTGCTGCCGATGTGGATCTGTCGGCTGCTGCGGTGATCTCGAAAGCAGCTGCCAGTGGCTTCGGCCAGGGCCGCTCGCCCCGGGCACTGTCGGTCCGCTCTGTGGCTGCGCTACTGGCCGTCGTGGTCACTCGGTGGTAGGACGCCGATGCGGCGGATGTGTCAGGCTCCATCATCTAACACAAGCCAAAATCAGGGCTATGGCGAGGAAAGGAAACCCGCGCCAAAGCGATCGGGAGATCTGCCATTCTGTTTGCTGCCTCGGGCATCTTTCGCATCTGTATCATCCCCTGTGGCGTATACGCTGCCTTGATGGATCCCTTGACGGTGATCCTTCCCGGAGATGCGCGAGATGCCGTCGATGGCAGGAGAGATGAGTCTGGTGATGAGGGCATTCTTGGCGTGCCGATGGAGCTGCCCTTCCACCCAAGACGGACAGCTCTCCAGGCATACAGAAGGAAGGTGTGCAGCTACTGGCCATGGGAGAGAAGAAAGCTGTATTCTCTGCCATCTGTCTGTCGGTGTGTGCATCTGTCTGTGCTCAGTACATCCCCAAGCCTGACGATTTGGTGATTGGGATCATCAAGCAGAAGACCGGAGAGCAGTACAAAGTCAGCAACACACTCGCACACACACACATGATCTCACGCACACCCCAAATCCTCTCCGTGTGCTTCTCAGGTGGACATCAGGGCGCCGTTCGAGGCCACTCTCGACTCGACGGCCTTCGAGCGTGCGACCAAGCGGCACAAGCCCAACCTGCAGGTGGGCCACGTGGTCTACGCCTTTGTGCAGTCGGCGCACAAGGACTACGAGACGACTTTGGTGTGCACATCGGTGGACGTCCACAAGGACTGGACCAGCGGGGAGGGATACCTGGGGCAGCTGCAGGGCGGATACTGCCTCGACCTCGATTTCATCGCCCACGCCGACTGGTCAGTCAGTAGTCGTGACTGATTTGTATACCTTCGCAATGCGTGTGTATGTGTGTGTCCGTCTGCGTATTCGTGCAGTTTGTTGGGCGACGAGTGTTTTGTGTTGGAGCAGCTGGGTGCGGTGGTCAAGTATGAGGTCGCCGTGGGCCGCAACGGCCGCATCTGGGTCAAGACGGAGAGGCCCAAGGAGACCCTTCTTGTCCTTAGTGCCATCAAGACGGCGTTGACCAAGGCACTCACGCTCGAGCAGGTGACCACGATGCTTCTGTGCCATTCATCCATTGGTCTGCCTGCTTTGTCCTTATGTGTCTGGAGTGCAGACGCAGGCGGCCATCAACATCTTCGTAGAGCGGCTGACCTGATGAGGAATGTGTGGATAGGTATGTGGCGGTATTGGCAATGGGACTGAGTGAGGGTGTCGATCTGTGAATGAACGCATTTGGTTGAGCTTCACGGCTGCTTACGACAAGGAGTCTTGGCTACGCTCACAATATATCGACCTTACACACACTGCTACACACGTTCGCACGCCCATTCACCCCCCACCCTCTCCCCCAACCCCCCGCCACGCACTCATCGTCCATCCATGAGCATGCCTGCTGGTAGGTAGGAGGTGCCATCGCTCCCGGACCTTCAACGCAGGGCTGACGATAGCATTCCAACCAGCACGACAGTGCCTCACTCGCCGTTGTGTATGTATCACAGACACCGCCATCCGTGGGTCATTCTTGAAGGCCTCACGCGCCTCTCGTGCACCCCAGGTTGCCGTCGCCATGAATACGACGGTCCCCTCAGGTGTACGAGAAGGGTGTGAGGCCTCCAGGAATGATCGCTTCATCGAAATCGGGCAAGCAGAAACCAACCAGACGACAACACCAGCCCCGCCTCTCTTGTCTGCAGCCATCACGACACGGCTACCCTCCTGTACAGACTCATGAATGGATCGACGATACGTATGTGCGTGTGTGTGTGTGTATGTATACTATGGCACAAGAGCAAGACAAGCCAACCACACCGCCCCATCCCCTCCTCTCTAGCCAGATAGCCAGCTACGCCCGCATTCCTCCGGCTCTCGCATCTATCAGTCATCTAAGTGCCGCCGCCCGTCCTTTTCTACACGGCGTGTGTGTGTGTGTCGTCATTTGCCCTCGCGGAAGAAGTCGTCGGCCGAGGGCGGCGGGCCGTCGGGGCGGGCGGCACCGCCTCCCGAGGGAGATGACGGGGGCGACCTAGAATATGGACCGCCTGACAAAGCCACAGGACAGGCAAAGGTGCGGGCTGGTCGGGGGAGGGATGTGGGGAGGGCTGTGGGTGAGGTATAGGTGGTGTACCTATGTTCATGTTGTATGGTTCCTCGAGCAGCTGTGTGATGGCCGCCGGGTTGGTGAACACCTGCCACCCGTACAGCGCCGGCAAAATGGACTGCATCAGGATCACACACACACACACACACAGAGAGATGGACACGGACATGGACGAAGGTGTGCGTGTGTGTTGAATGGGTGTACCTCTAGCAGCGTCTGGAGTGCTTTGAAGTCGCCTAAGGTGCCCGTCACCTGCACCTCCTCATTGCTCTTGCGATCCTGACACACACACAGCACATGCAGGTAGGGATCCTCCGAGTGTGCCCGTCCGTGCGTGTGTGCGCCGGCAGGTCGTGTTTGTTACCTTCATGACGAAGGCCACCCTCTCGGGATCGGAGGCATCGTTTCCCACACTCAGTATGGTCTGCAGACACGCACAAACACAGGCAGACTCCATGCGATGTGGTGGGCTGGATGTGGTGTGGCGAAGATGTACCTTCTCCGATGTGATCTGCACCGACACCTCCGCGAGATTCGTGGCCGATATCAACGAACTGAAGACCAGACAACACACACACGTTTGGATGGTTCCCTCAGTGTGCCTTTGTATGGGTCGGCCACCGACCCACCCTAGATGCTGCGGTTTGAGCAGCATCATCTGCTTCCTCTCCTTGTCGTACTTGGACATCCTGCACACAACACGCGCACCAGCACACAGTCTATCCATCGCCCCCGCCCCCTCCCTCTCCCTCTCCCTCCCTCCCTCTCAGCAAGTGCGTGCATCTCCCAGACCTGGCCTTGACGTCCAGTTTGGGCATGAATATGGCCCTGACAGATCCGTCATTGGCCACCTTGAACTTGCGCAGCTCCCGGTCCCACTTGTACAACGCCGGCACGGGGCTGAACATGGCCATCGCCTCCCGACCCCAGATGGTGAAGCTGCTCGGGAAGATCTGCGACGCACTCATCGCTCCCTGTGGCTGCTGCTGCTGCATGGGCGGGGCGGGGAAGGGAGGAGGGGACTGGACGGCCGCAGGCGGCTGGTGTGAGGGATCTTCGTCGGTCTGCTGCGTGGCCATGGCTGCTGCCGCACTCGAGAAGGGCCGGAAGAGCGCTGCGGAGTGCTGGAGTGTACTGCCATGTGAAAGGGGGAGAGCAACGAAGGGACGAGGGATGCGGACGAGACCTCGAAAGAAGGACATGGATGCGGCGCTGCGAGCGAAAGAAACGGCTCAGTTTACGCACAAGTAAGGCGCCCAGGCAAGCTGAGCGCGGTGCACGACCCCCCTAGTGGATGGGCCGATTTGCGCGTTCGACGGAGAATGCGGATGTGTCCAGAAAACACGTCGATCACACTATCCATGCAATGAATTAAAGAACACATACAATTGCATGCATGTCCTTCTCCCTTTTGTAGAGCTG